CAGACAGGGCGAGTGTGGCTGGGGAGGCTGGGGGGTGGCAGCGGCCCTCAGCTCAACGCTGGTCCTGGGGGGGCCTCTCCGGATGCATGCACGTGGCAGTCGCATTCGTCCGTGGTCTGTCCGTCTGTCGAGGTGTGCTCATATCTGTGTGTGTATCTCAGGAATTAAAGCTCTGCACACCCATCATGGCTGCTGGGGGGCACAGGGCGCGGGGGCCTCCTGGTTAGGTCATAAACTTTATTTCTCTTTTTTTGGCACAAACGGAGCTGGCTGAGGGTCACAGCAGGAGGGGATGTGGCTGTGCGAGGTGACACCTCAGAGCTCAATGGTGTCGCTGGAGAGGCTGCGGGCGTCCACCTGCCTGCTGAGCGCCAGGAAGCTGCGCCGTGCCTCGGGCTCGGAGCCGGGGGGCTGCAGGGCCGGGGGGGTCTCCTGGTGGGCCAGCAGCTGTGCCCGGCTTGGCGCCTCCTCCAACGGCAAGCTGTCAGGTGAGGACAGGCCGTGCCGCCACGGGTTCCAGCTGATCTTCAGCGAGAAGCTCTCCATGGAGCTGACGGACACGTCGGCCTCTCCGCGGGGCAGCTCAGTCAAGGAGCTGCAGCGCACCATGCTGGTTTGGGGCTCAAAGGTGCGGATGGAGGCCCCGGAACCACGGCGCGGCCGCCCAAACAGCCCCTCGCGCAGCAGGTGCCGGCGGCACAGCGCCTGGTCGATGCTGCGCCGCAGGTCGATGGGGGATGGCGGGCGGAAGACCAGTTCGCCCAGCGAGGCCGAGGAGCCGTGCTCGCGGATGGCTGCCACAGCCACGTTGGGGCACTTGGGGCTGAGGCCCGGCGTCCCCGCAGCCACGGCCGCGTTGCTGTCCTTCAGCGCCCGCAGCGGGAGCTGCTCGGCCGGGTTGCGGATGAGGCTCTTGGAGATGTCTCCGGTGGGCGCGTGCTCATAGCAGTTGTTGGGATATTCGGGCGCTTGGGCCTTGCGCCCGGCGCAGAAGTACCGCACGGCTTTGGCCCAGCACGAGTGCCCCGCGGCCTCCTCCCTCCGTCCCCGCCACAGCGGCTCGGCCGCCCCCAGCAGCACCGCCAGCCCTACGCCCGCCTCTCCCACCTGCATCCATCCCATGGCCGCCCAGCAGGGCCACCCGCAGCGCCCGGCCGGGCCCACGCCGCCCCGCAGCCACGCGGCGCTGAGCAGCTGCAGCGCGCAGCACGGCACCCCCAGCAGCCCTGCTGCCAGCAGCGCCCGTGCCCCGCATCGCAGCCCCTCGCGACGGGACCCCTGCCAGCCACCCCGCAGCCCCCCCAGGAGCAGCAGTGTGGCGAACACGCAGCCCACCCCGTGCAGCGCTAACCCTGCGCCTAAACCCCATCGTGGCCACAGCAGATCGGCCGCCACAGGGGCGAGGCACTGCAGCACGGCCGTGACCCCGAGCGCGGGCAGCCCCCCCAGGGAGGGGGGCAGCAGGCAGAGCTGTGCCATGCGCTGCAGGCGGCCCAGCAGCAGAGTGAAGGCTCCCAGCAGCAGCGTGAAGGGCACGGAGCAGAGCAGCAGCATGCAGCGGGGCGGCAGCCGGCCCCGCGCCCCATACGGATCCAGCAGCAGGAAGGTGCCCCGCAGCAGGCTGGCGGCCAGCAGCAGCCCCGTGGTGCCCAGCAGTAGGGCGCAGTGGGGTGGCCGCTGCAGGATGGTCCCCCCCAGCCCCGCTGTGCAGCCCAGTGCCAGCAGCAGGCACAGCGCGGCCCCCACATAGGCGTGCACGGCCCAGGCGATGCGAAGGGGACGGCGTAGCTCAGCCCAGCCCGCTGCTGTCGTGTTGGAGCTCCCAGCAGTGCATGAAGCCCCTGTACAGATGCTGGGCTCTGAGGGGGGCTCGCTGGGCTCTGGCTTCATGGGACGCCATGGGGCGCGCTGCGTTGTCACCCATACCACTCCCTGCCGCCACGTGGCTGAGGGGACTGCGGTGCTGCTGGCAGCAGGGGGCTGCATCCCTGTGGCATCTGCAGGTAGAGAGAGGGCTGTTCGTTAGTGGGGTGCCCCATATGTGGATCTATTGCGATGGCCAATGCTCCAGCTGAGTGCACTGTCTCTGACCCCACAGGGAAGCCCCCTCCTGCCTGGCTCTAACCGCGATAATCCCTATAGGCAGTAGATTAGGGCCATCACTGGGCACAATCCTGATTGAAGGTGGCACCTCAGCCCAAGATAGCTGCCATCCCCTCTCCCAGATGGTGGTCACCCCCCAGACCCCATGCTGGGACGGTGCTTGTCCACACTGCAGCTCACCTGAGCGCCTGGTGCTGGATGGTGTCCCTGCTGTGGGGCGCACTGTGAGCACGGTCACCTCGGTGGCATTGGGGATGCTGCCATGCCCCACAGCGCCCCGGACTCGCTGCGGGGAGCCGACGTCTTGCTCAGGGAGCAGCCCTGTGAGAGAGAGGACAGGTGGCACCCAGGGCTCAGTCACTGTGGGGTGTCCGTGCATCTTGCCAGCTCCTACCTGTATAAGGAGTGCCAGGGGGGGACGTGCTGGAGATGGGCGGCGGTGTGATGCTGGTGCTGAGGGTGGGCTGGGGGTCCCGCAGTCTTGTTGACCTGGCAGGTGCCACATCCCCGGCGGTGGCATTGCTGAGTGGGGCTCTGCGTGTGCTTCTCTGATGCGCAGGCAGCAGCCAAGTCCAGGTCTCAGCCCTCACCTCCTGTGCCATCTTGGGTGACGGCCCACGGGATGGGGCTCTGTGCTCCCCCAGGGTGGAGGCAGGAGCAGTGCTGAGGTGACCCCATAGTCCCTGTTTGCTGCTGCCCGCAGCTGCTGGCTGTCCCCAGGTGTGTGTGGCTGCTGTCACCGCTCCGGTCCCCACTGCTGGCTCTGGGGTCAGGGCAATAGTGGACATGGTTGGCTGAGGGCTGGGAGTGCTGCCTGGCAGGGATGCACTCTGCTCAGATGGGAGTGTCCCCTGACCTGCCCAGGGTGGCCCTGTGTCTATGGGCACCTGGGGGGATGCCATCCCTGGTGTGGAGCTGTGAGGTAGCTCTGTCTTCCCCCTGGAGCTGTCCTGGCCTTCGGCCTCTCGTCCTTGCCAGATGAAGGACTCCTCTACCACAGCCAGGGTTGTGTCACCTGCCAGGCTTGCCCCTGTCACCCGAGGTGTCCTAGTGACAGTGCCCAGCTGTGGCAGTTGAGACCAGTGCACAGGACTGCCACCTCTCCAGCGCTCACTCTCGATGTTCCCAGCACCACTCAGCTCCCCCGATGCATCCCAGGCTGGAGGTGTCCCCAGGTGTCCCCAGGATGGGACGTGCAGGGGTACCCTGCCCTGCTGTGATGTCTCCTCTGGAGACAGTGTCTCCTGGGCCGTGGTGGAGACCCTGTCAGCCAGGAGCAGCGTCCAGGTGATAAGCCACACTGCAGCCATGGTGAGCCTTCACCTTCACCCTGCGGGGACAGGGGGTTGGTGAATGGGAGTGACGCTGCCTGGGGGTGGGGACTGTCCCTGTTTCCCTGCACTGGGGCCCGTGCCCAGCTGCGCCCCATCCCGGGTGGTTCCTGGCTGCATCCCAGCTGGGCCTATTCCCGGTGTCCCCGGTGCCAGTAGCCCGCATTCCCAACGCTCCCATTTGCAGCGGCCCTGGTGCCGGCAGTCCCCATCCCCAACGTCCCCATCCCCGGTGCGGATGCTCCATGGTGTCTGTGCTGCCCGCACACAGCATCCCCGGCGTCCCCGCTCCCGGTGTCCCCATCCCCCGTGTTCCCGGTACCGACAACCCCTCTCCGCCGCGCTCCGTTCACCTTGCCGCGTCCCCGGCTGCCTCCCGCCGCCCGCCGCAGCCCGGGGAGGCCCCGAAGCCCGTACCGCCGCAGCCCCCGCTGACCTGCCGCTGCCGCTGCCGGTGCGGGCCGGGCTCTGCGGCGGAGCGGGAGGCGGCGGCAGGCGGTCACGCGCCGCTCCGAGCCGCGGGCACCCGCACCGGGAACCCGCCCGGCACTGGGGCGGGAGGGGCGGTGCGGTGCGGTGCGGCGGGGCAGGGACGGGTTTCCATAGGGGATGCTAAAGCGGGGCAGGCAGCGAAGGCAGCCCTTGTGCCGGTGACACCCAAATCCGGGGGTGACTCTGCGTCCCGGCCACCCGCACCCGGGGGCTGCGTTACCGTGCTGGGCGCCGTTCCCAAAAGGTGCCCCCAAGAGGCGAGGGACGGCACCGGCACCCCCTGCCCGCTGCTACTGCAGCACCGCTGCGCCGAGCGCAGGGCCGGGGAATTTGGGCAATGCCGGCCCCACAAAGGCAGCAGGCTGGCGGCTGATCCCGGGATTAGCGGCGGGGAGGCTGCGGGGCGAGCGGGGCAGTGCCGGCCTCACCCTGCGCACGGGCGCGCTGCGCCCTCCGCCCCCGGTATCTCAGCCGCCGCGGTTCCTCCGGCTCCGCACAGCTCCCGCATCCCGTGCCGCCGGCGCTCTCCCGCTCTGCCCGGTGACTCAGGGCCATCTCCGCAGTGCATGTGCGTGTCTGTGCCCCGCGCCACCTGGGTGCCACCGCACCCCGGCGCATCACCCCCACGTCTCCACGGAGGCCAGCGCGGGGGGAGCACCGCTCACTGCTCTGCATCCCGAAACGCTGCTCACGACCCCTCCGTGCCCGTGGGATCCCCAGCACGGCCCCGCTGCACTTAGGCCTGGGGCTGTGCCGTCCTTGGGGCTCGCAGCAGAGGTCCCTCCAAGCTCAGCAGTGTGCTGCCGGGCTGGCAGCAGTGCACAATGGAGAGCACCAAGCCCTCCTATCCCCAAAACGCGGTGAGAACCTCAGCCCCCCGCAGCGGGTTTCACCCACCGCAAATTGCTGCACTCTGGGGAGAGCAGCTGCAGAGGGGAAATGTAAAAAGGAAGAAGGGCTGTAGGCAGCTGTCACGCTGTCTGTTCACCTGCTGAAATGGGATATCACCTCCCCTGAAAAAAAAACCAACCAGTACAGAGAAATGAGACATTTGCAAAGAAACAACGTGTTTATTAAAGCCAGGCAAACGATCCCAGCCCTCCCCTGCAGGATGAGAGCGCTGCACCATGTGGGCTTGTGGCAACAGACTGCTCTGTCAATATTGAAACGCTTCTTCCACCAGCAGCAGCTCAGATCAAAGATCAAAAGGGCAAAAACATTAGAAGCTGTGGAAACAGATCCACGGCTGGTGACCCAGCAAGATCTGCTCTGTTTGCTCCTGGGGTTGCCGAGGGCTCGAGCTGCCATTTATCCCGGGCTGGTGGTGAGGTGGTCCCTTCTCACTCAACATCTGCACAGCTGGGATGACCCTGAGCCAAAGAACTACATCTAAAAGATGAGAAATATCCATCAGTTACTGAAGGTGTTGAATTTAGACTTTGCTTCTTTGGGCTTCTGTCCAAAGCCATCCTTGAAAAGTTTAAGATGGACACGTCCTTTATTCATAAGAGAGACATGAGGCTACTGTGATAGAAACTAAACAACATCCTGAATTTCCTGAAACAAAGTTCGGCCTCAAGGGAGAAGAAGCACAGCAGTCCATGCACCGGGTTGCTGGGACTTTGCTTTCCTCAGCCGAGCCCTTATCCACCAAAGCTCAGAAACAGCTCTTGGGGCAAATCTTAACCTTACCAAAAACAGTCAGAAAAAGACCCCTACTTTCTAGAGAGCCAAAAGTCAGAACTTGCAGACATGCAAACCAAAACAGAGACTACGAGTAAGAGAGGAGTGAAAGCCTCCAGCTACAAAGGTGTTATTAGAGGCGTAGGGCTGAAAGTCTCAGCGGAGTGCAGGCACTTCTCTGCTGCATGAACACAACAGTAAGCAGAGCCCAGGGCACTTCTGGTGGGGGTAAAACTGCAGACCCACGCAGCTTCCCAAGCCTCAGATCCTAAGCTGTCCCTGAAGATGGATGTGAGCAGGCAGTGACATGCTTGGGGCCCGGCAGGAGCCCTGCCTGTTTTCAAGGGGCTGTGCTCACACTCGGCCCTTCTCAGCAGTCCCAACAGGAGCTCCCAGCATCAGCTGTAGGAGACTGAACAGGAGGAGTAAACAGCAACACAGACAGCCATGTCTGCACTGGAGGCTCTGAAAACAAAACCCCTCAATCTGAATAATCACTATCAAAAACTAAGGAGCAACATTCTGTGCCCTGCACGTTGCCAGGACACGGGTTGGTGGAGCCTGTGGAGCAGCTCGCCTGTTTTTCACCTGTTCTGCACAGGGAGAACAGACTCTCCTGGGGAGAGGAATCCCAGAAATCCCTTCTCACACTGGCAGCTATGGCTCTTTTTCTGTTTTCCAAACTTCTCTTTCTTTGGTCTGCAAGTTGGAGCATGCTTTTATTGGAGCACGACACTGGCAGGAAACTCTTTGTTAGCCTGGGCTGAGCACTGCTGAGCTTCTGTTGATGGGGAGCTGCAGGAATTGGGTTAGAGCTTGCTAAACTGAGAGCAACTGTATATCTGGGAAAGCAATTTTTTCTTGTGCTTCCCAACCCGATAATCCTGTTTGCTCTTACTTGCTTCAGCCCACCATCAGCACACCTGGCGAGCTCCCCTTTTCTCTTGCCGGGGTGTGTTTTCTTCCTCTCCATTACTTTATTCCAGGGGATCCTTCCCAGCTTCAGCTTTGCCTTGTTCCCTATGGCTATGTTCTCCAGCTCCTGGTCCGTGGACGAGCTCCCATCTCTCTGCCCAGACACGCTGCTTTGCACAAAGAGATGGCACGCTTGAGGCTGCCTCTGCTGTGATGGTGTCACGGGTTTAAATCCACTGGTACCTCTGCGGACTGCCTTCCTCAGAGGAGTGACTGGGGATATCTCCTGCAGTACGGGAATGGGCTTTTTCCGACCGTCCCCCAGCAACTGGCTGTTAGCACTGCACGCACACGGATGGTGAGAGCAGCTCTGTGCTACCAAAGCAGATTCCACCTCCCCGCCATACGCAGCTGTAGCAACGGGGCTGACTTTGCTTTCAGAAGGTGCATCGAGGCCACCCCGAGGTGTCACGTCCCCGCTGACTCTGTGCTGCTTCCCCGCAGCAGACAGACCCAAGGAACTGCAGCCCCCTGTACCATGGCAGCACGGCCAGTGTGCTTTCTGCTGGCGTGGGGCACGGTCCTGGCACGTGCCAGGAGAGGTCTGGGAGGAGTTATCCACCATCCTGGGGGGGACTTTGGCACTGGTCATGAAGGTCTGCAGCTCAGCTAAGGCACTGGGGAGCTTCAGGGAGCGTAATTCTTCACATAGCTTCAGGTGGTGGTCGCTGAGCTGAGCTGGCAGTGACTCCAGACCCTCCTTCAGCTGCAGGACACTGGATTTCACATCCGAAATATCCACATCTTTCTGGGGGAGCAGTGAGCAGAAGCAGTAAACAATGTATTACAAAGTACAGTAATAGGATTCAAAGAGGAAACTTTGGTACCATGCATCAGTGAGACACTTTAAGTTAAGACCCAATCTTAGCGATTTGTATCACTCTGTGTAAAATGTATTTATTGTGACCCAAAAGTGGGCATGCACTGCACCGCCTCCTCCAGCAAAGGCATGTGACAGAGCAAGAAAGCAGTGCTTCACCGTGCGCCTGCCACCACAGGGCACTGTTGGGCTCCCTTCTCTCTGACCACGATTCCATCAGTGCTGACAGCACTGTGTATGGGCTCCTGGGTAAGGATCAGCCAGTACGTGGTCCAGAATTTGCATTTTAATATGCTTTCCCCATTCAATACAATAGAAACAGTCTAGTTTGTAATCCTCTGTCTGAAGACAATTTAATATTCAGTTAATATTTTGAAGAAATTGGAGAAATTCGGAATGAAGATTCAGAATAAAAGATTAATTTCCCCACTTACAGCCGCCAGTCTCCTCTCCATCTCCAGCAGCGCCTGCTCCATTTGGCTTTTATCTTCCAGGGCTTTCAGCACCACGTCACTGTGACTTTGAAGAGCATCTTGCACTAAACAGGCAAATCAATAAAAGACACATTTGGTCTTTCATTTGTAAATGTGAATGAAGCACTATCAATACTATCGCTGCTTCCGCCACGGCCTGGCATGAAATACTTCACTGTGCTATGCAACCACAGCTGAGCTCTCCCCAAGCACCAAACAATGGACAGTGGGGTACATGCTTAATGCAGAGCATTTGGAATTTATAAGATGCTGAGTGCAGGCCAAATCTCATTTACTGTGCTCTATTAATATGGCAGCTGGAGATGAAAGGCTGCGTGAAGCTGGAACACTTGGTTAGCTCAGCGCAAGGAAGGCTGAGGTGAACAAAGATTGCACTGGGAGAGGGACCACAATGTGCCTGGTTTACAGCTTACGTGGAGGGGGGAAGATCCTTAGCAATCTTACAGAATCATAGAATCATTCAGGTTGGAAAAGACCTCTGTGATCACCCAGTGCAACCGCCCACCCGTCACCAACGCTGCCCACTGACCATGTCCTTAAGTAACACATCTCCCCTTTCCTTGAAGCCCTCCGGGGACACTGACTTCACCACTCCCTGTGCAGCCTGTGCCAGTGCATCTTTCTGGGAAGAAATTCTTCCTAATATCCAACCTGAAGTCTTCCTTTAGAACCATAAATGATGAAACAGAGGAAGAGATGCTCTCTAGCCATGTCTGCTCTTCCCTTTGAACAGCATAGGAAGGTGTGGATGCGTGGCTGGGGCAGAGCCTTTGGTTCTCCCTAAACAGGATTCAGGGCCCTCCTAAAACAAAGTGTTCCCAAGCCAGCTGGGTGGGATAACCAAAACTCAGGAACGCTGCTGTGTGCCCAAGAGAAAGATCAGTGTAGAGCAATGTTCCAACAAGTGGCTGCAAGAGCTCTGCAGTCAATTAATCCTCTTTTCCTGCAGATCCAATATGTTTGATTGACTGTGGTGTCTGCAGAGCTGAGAGCCCTGCTGAAGAGGTTCCTGCACGTGGTGTATTTATCTCAGCTCCTCAGGGCAGCTCCTCTCACCCCAGGGATGCTGCTCCCCTGCTGCAGCACTGCATGGTTCTCAGCATCACTTCTCCTGCTCTGCTATTTTCATTAAGGTCGCGGGGACTTAATTATCTTGGTGGCTCTGCCCTTCTGTCAAACTCGTGATGGAATTGGCCAGAGTTAAAAACTATTAAGGAGAGAAAGGCAGAAGGGATCGTACACGTTTGGGTTCCGTGAAAAAACGGAGACTTTTGAAAAGGTACATTTGGAAGGGAGAAAAGAATGAGATGTGAGCAATTATGGGCCGGCGGGTTTGTTCTCATGCTGCCCAAGGTTTTAACTAGACCTTAAAGGAAAGAGCAGTCAAAGATACAGAGGAAAATGGAACAGAACAGAACAAGACTTCATGAAAGGCAGATTGTGCCTGACTAATGCAATACCCGATGATAAGAGAGGTGAGCAGTTAGACAAAGGCAGTGCAGTGGCCTTTGTGTAGATTCAAACAAAGCTTTTCACTGGAAATCATGTCATATGAAAAAAGCTGAGAAAAACCATGAGGTGCATAAAGGCTCTGGAGAGTGGTGGCAGGAGGGGACCTGGGTGCAGGCGAGGCAATGGGCAGCCAGCCTGTGACACAAGGCTGTATGCTGGGGCACAGAGCAGCGAGGTACGGCTTGTGGAATAGGTTTGTAACGATGGAAGAAGTGTTTCAGCGGCTCCTTTCAGAGTCTGCATCTCCCTGGTTAGACCCAAGTGCTACTTGCACTGTTTCTGGGAGGCTGCTGGCCCCCTGCAGGCCTGCAGCCCCACTGAGGAGAGGAAGGCAGCAGCAACTGAGCGAGGAAAGCCCCTCACGTCACTCCATCCCATTCCAGCTGTACACAACGAGGGCTTACCTCGGCTTGCTGCTCTTCCCCATACGCTTTCTTTTGATTCTGAATTATTTTTAAGGCTTTCTGATTTCCCCTGTCTGTTCTTCAACATGGATCCTCGGTTTATAAATAGCGCTGCATCCTCGGGGCTTGTGATCTGCACATACGTTTGACTCAGCACAGCATGCTGCGGGCAGGCTCCCAGCAGCCTGTGGAACGTGCTCCATTTGTACATGTGGGAGTGTTCTGCAGAAAAACCTCAGTACAGAGGAGGGGCACTTTCCTCCCTCGCTGCCTTCCGCACTAAGGAGCGTTCAGACTTGTCAAACATTATTAAACACAGCAGAAATGGGTGTTGATCTACGCCGAGAAAAAACGGCGTTGAGATGGCTGAGGTATATCAGATCAAGGATCCTGCTAGTCAAACCTCTTGGCTTTGAAAATGATCAAGAACAGCTGCCTCAGAGAAAGTCTTCTTCAAATAAACCCTGCAGTGGATGGTTATTGAGTAACTCAATCACAGAGGAAAAATCTTTACTCGGTTAATGAGTGGATTATGCACGGGCTTGTGCCTCTCTTCAGGTATTTCACTCCAAGCCAAGCAGCTTTTTCCAACCTGGAATGTTGCTACGGTTGGGTTTGCTGTACCATTGTCTTTGAATGCTGCTGGTTTCCATTAATAACATAAGGAATGTGAAATCCATCAGGAGAGAGAATGCTGCAGAGGGGAGAGGGTAGGTGAGCTCATCCAGTAAGCCCACCCTGCTGCCCAGTGCTGGGTTCTGTCAGAGATTTGCACTGGCTCGTCCTCTCTAAGGGAAATATTGCCCATCATTCACCATCTTTGCTGGCAGGAGGGGCAGACTGTCAGCAGTGCGCTCGCCGGGAAGATGCTAAGGAGTGTTGCAGAGGATAGGGCTGCTGTGAGCTGTCACAGCTGGAACTGCCAGATACCAGAAAAGCAAGGCAGTTCAGAGAGGGCTGAGCTGTGAATATGAGGATTTATATATATATGTAAGAAAGCTTTGATATAAATGTGAGTATATAAATGAAAATGAGGAAAATAGAAAAAGAAATGAGTTACAGCGGTTGAGACCAGAAAGAGCGAGCAAATGGTAAGCCAGCAAGTCAACCAGAGGAACTCTACGAGGCAGAACTGAGAACACAGCTCTGCTTCCTTCTTTACATCCCAGTGCACAGCACACTGAGATGTGTTCAAGGAACAGAGCAGCTGTTCTGTGAAAGCTGCTCAGGCAAATGCTATCTCACTGATGGTGCCAGACGCAGCTCTATTTGCTGTGTGTGCACATATGAACAAATGCACACAACAGATCAGTTTTTATCTCACTGCAAGGAGCGTGCTAGCACAACAGCATTTGCAAGGATATTTTGAAAAATATTTTCTGTTTTCTTCTCACACTGTGGCTTTGCAGACTCTGCCAAATGTCCGTGCTGCTCACTGCTGTAAACGAGGCCTGTGACACTCCTGAAACGCTTCTAATGAGAATGGACTTAATTTCAAGTGATTTCTTTACTTTGCAGCATTGTTTGAATGCCCTGTTGTACAACCCGTGTCTCTGAAGAGAGCCTCATCATCTCCTGCATTCAGCTCCTCACGTCAAATCCTCCGCCACCATTTGCTTAACACCTCTACCATGTCACCATGTCACCACATCCCACGGTGCTGTATCATCAACCACTGCCATTCAGTGCTTCCTTGGCTCTGAATTTGTCAGCTGAGTTTAGGAATTTTAGATGGCCTTTCTGAAGGAATTACCTCAGCTGGGATCTTTTCAAGGCACAAGTGTGGGCATTTATGTGGTGGGAACTTAATTATCCATCACTGTGACACCAGTCAAATGGCAGTGTTTATCAGCAATTAACCAGTGACAGATGAACCTCCCAGAAATATAAAAAGAACAACATTGTGGAGTGATGATTTTCATTATGTATTCAACATTCTGCAGCATGATACATTACAGAAAGTGCCAATTTCTCTTTTCAATTGCTTTGAAAATCTAGCAGCAGGCACCTCTGGGAGGTTTCTCATTTCATTCAAGGCACAGTTATTTAAAATGGTTACTGAGAAAAAACAGGGCAGATGAGCAAATGGCAGAGAAGGACGAGGGGGACTCATGAACAATAGATTTAATTTTCAGTGCCATGACAACAATTTCTGTGCTAGAGGTGTATGAAATTAGGCAAAGTCCTGCCTCCGAGTGGACAAGCTGACACTGAAGCAACTAGGGATGGGCAAATGCAAATAGGAAGCTTGCTGTGCTGGCCAAAGCAGGCAGATACTTGCTTGCATTGAGGACCCACAAAGAGCACTTGCCAAGCAAGGGAGTGCCCTTGCTACAAGATTGATATTTGGAACACACGTGCTACCACAGCCTTGTGAAGAACGCATCAGACTCCACTGCTCTTGCTTGAGAGGGCTGTGTTGATTTAAAGGGCAACTGTCAAAGCTGCGTGTCTCAGAAGCCACATTTTGCTGCACAGATAAGATTCGACTGCTCTTGTGAGGGCCTTTTCCACTGAACTCAGGAGGTATATCACACATTCTGCACGTGTTTTGAAGCCGGTTCCTCGTTCTTGCACAGAGCACAGTCCTGACACAGTGCTGACAGAAAATAATGACACAATTAAAAACCACTGCACTCTCAAAAGCTCAGATCCAAGTCAAATTAGAAACAACTTCAGCAGTCCCCCTCAATGAAGACTGCTGTGACTAGCTGCTTGCTGTTCACAAGAGTTTTACATTATTGGCTCTTCTGGGAGATCATCCTTTCATCACAGTACAAGTGCACCTCATGACCTGCTTTTTACCTAAGAAGAAAAGTACCAGAGATAGAAAACTGCAAACTACCGTGAAAACTTGAGAAATCCTTAAAACCTGGATGTGGAAACATACGAAATAAGTATCAACAGTATTTTTAGTGAGTACTTCAGTAGTGTATCAGATACAGCCTAAACATGAGTGAGAGCACAAAGCACAGAGGTGCCTTTATCTATACACATATAGTGTCTGACCATACAGCACCTAAATTCTTTAACAAAAGAGAGCAGAGAAAAGGTAAGTATAACAAGAATGGAAAAACCAAACCCATGCTGTGACTAAGCCTTTCTTGGCTCTTCACCCTTACGAGGAGCAGCTGTGAATGGCATGAGTCGCCTATTTCAGCCCAGCTTGGAGACATTCAGTAGTTTGACTGTGCCCTCTGCTGTTAACAGAAGCACAGAAAGGACTCACGTGTCTTGGAAATGGACTCCAGGTGAACAGAAATTGATTTGTTTCTTGAATTGAACTCTTTTTCAATGTTGTCCAAGCATGCTTGCAGCTGCAAGAGTGAAGGTAAGTGAGAAAATTAAATGCTGTCTTTCATGTGTTTGCAAAAACATAGCCTTAAAAGCTGCAGAATAATGGGTAACTTCAAATAGTTTGTCCATCCATTGGTTGCAACCCCAAAAGAGACCTGGAATGGCTCAAAAGACAACTGAAGGATTGCAGAAGTCTTGAATTATTTTACGATAGTGATATTAATCTGTTTAAAAAACAAAACAAACACTAGGGATAGCAGTTAAATTATTTATAAAAAGTAGGGGGGAGAAGAGACTTTCACCTTCAGATTGTGAGACTACACTGGATTACTTGTTCCTGAGAGAAAGGCACTGTCTTCAAGCAGAAGGAAAGAAGCCTTTGTATTTGCAGACAGCCATTACAACCTGTTCTTGCTCCCAAGCCCCCGAGAAATTCCATTGCTGACTCTGAGACAAGTCCCTAAGGCCTGTAACCCTAAGGTTTGGCCACAAAGAGCGTGCTATGTGTAAAAAGCATTGACATTTGTTGGTCTGAGCATTTGTGTGCTCACAGCAAACAGTAAGCTAAGTCAAATATCATCAGTGAAGAAAGTGAGAGAAGATGAATGTTGAGTAGCATTTCTAATTCTTCCTTCTCCTGAGCTCTGAATTTGAATTAACTTACCCCTTGAAGCCTGTTGTTGATGCTGGAAATAAAGGTGCTTAACACTTCTCTAAAATGAAAACAAAAACGGAACAGTTTATACTTGCTGTGTTTCTGGCTTTTAAGACAGACATGTAAGATACTGAAGTGGTCAGAAATTGAGAATATCACAGTAAAAAAAAGTTATATATGTATGTGTATATATATATATATACACACACACACACATACATCACACACATGAATATATATTTATATATATATTGTGTGTGTGTGTGATTCTCCTGATCCTGGCCCAGCATTTCTGCCTCCCATGGAAGTTCCAGGCATGTTTGCACAGCTGCACGTTGGCTGCTGGGTGCTGCTGCTGTGCTGTCGGTCCAGAAGGACCCAGTCTGGGTGGAGGTGATGTGCCAGCTGCTGAGATACATACACAAACACATATTGTGTTTGGGCAAAAATAGCTGTGGGGGGAAAAAGGGAAAAGCTGCAGCACCATCAAAGGAAGAACATACAGCACAAATCCTTTTCTCCTGAGATGAAGCCTGTGGTTTCTGTTATCCATCCTTTGGAGCGGAGTGAGCCCATCGAGAACCAGGCTATATTCATGATTAACCTATCAAGCCAAAATGCACGGACTGTTGCTAAGCACAGTGCTAGCCTATTTCCTCTCTGGAGTTTTGGGTCATTTTAAATTGATCATTTAGTCATCTGAATTACAGCAATCAGAAAGGTGGAGGCCAGGTAGAGTGTAGCAGTGAGAAGTAGGCAGGGCTGCTGGAATTCTTTTCAGCTTTATGAAAAGAATAAGTTCATTTTGATCATCAAACATGCAGGAGATACAAATGGATAAAGGAGATATATATATATCCTTTATAAAGTATATATATATTTTAGAGATAATACAGTTACTTCTATAAGCATGCTTCAAATCTGAGAATGCATCTGTAATATGGAAAGAAGCATAATTAATTTAAAGAAGAGATAGAGGATAATTAAGAGTTCTGTCTAAACACTTAAAAATGTATGTTAACTCTTCACAATTTGGTCACAAATACAAAAATCCTCCACTTTTCCAATAAGCACCAGAGCATCACATTTCTGCAGTATCAGAATCCCTGGTACTGTTGTAGTGCCTGTTGCAGGAGAGGAAGTGCAGTCTGATCTGATTAAAGGCTTTCAACAAAGATGTGTTTCACTTTGAATGTTACTTTGCAAAATGTACAGAATGAAGAATTATTTATGGGTGCACTGGGAAGGTTGCCATCTTTCATTTCTGAGATTGAAAATATTGGCTTAATCCTGAAGTCCTAGAGGTCTGACAGCTACATTTAATTCTTAATGCTTGGCAGAGGGCTCATCATCAAACTACATGTCCTATAAAAAAACACAGAAAAATCCTGTATATAAGTAAAATTATAGGGATTTGTGCAGGTTTATGTTACAATCATCACATCTTCCTCTGCACACAGTGCTTGGCATTCTCCTCACCTGTCTCAAAGGTAAAGGTCACACCAGGGGTCCCTTTGATCAGTCCCAATACAGTCTATCAATTTTTTAGAACCACGGGCTTTCACAGAGAACCAACACAGGAGAGAAAAACCAACAAACCCCTGCTGACTAGAGAAAGAAGACAAAGGTAAATTCAGGTTATGGTTTTGTTGTTCCTTGTGGCTTATGGCTGGAAGCGTTACACAACTCTCACCGCAAATAAGCCCTATTCTCTTATCCTGCCACTCTTTGCAATGAGAGATTATCTGAAACCTGAAATATGCAGCTATGCCATGTCTAACTTTTAAAGAGGAGCTGCAGGGAGTGATAACAGACTTCACAGGAAGTTTGCAGTGTGTACATACCGATCGTATTTGTCCTTTATTTTGTTGTTATTTGCTTTAAAGTTTTCCAGGACTCTCTTCCCTTGTGCTGCACCAAAATTAAGCAACCCTTTCTCTCTTGTATCTTCATCGAATAGCTGTGGTTTTGCTTGGTATTTGGTAAAAATACTGGGCTCGCTCTGTTGCACAAAGGAAAAGAAAAAATGTTGAGGTACAAAAATAATCAGAATGTTAATTAGCAAAAAACATTTTGCATATCAAGCACTTTTTAGAGGCATGGTTCACAGCGATTGGATGTTACGCATTGGATGAGGATGTTGAAGTATCATGAGGTTATTGCTCACTGAGCGTGTCCTGTTAGATGGGCTCAATGGGTTGATGGTTGGACTGGATGATCTTAAGTGGTCTTTTCCAACCTTAATGGTTTTAGCATTGTTTGGCTCCCAGTGGATCTGAAACCCAGCCTGAATTTCTCCAGACTTGGGCTTTTTCCTCATCCTGACTCCTTTCAGTTGATTGCAGTCATCAGGTGCATTGATACTTTTTCCTTATGTTTAACACATAGACTATAAGACAATTTCAGGGAGCTCCCTGTACATTAATCTACAGAAAATCCTATTGAATTTCCTGTAGGTGACAGCCTTTGCTGCCTAGCATCATCAGACTGTGGCTCAGTTTTTCACACGTTTCAATGCTCTTTCATCTTGAAGAGTGAATTTTCTTTCCTGCGTCTGATGAAAAGCTACGCAGTTAAAGGACAAGCTCTTCAGCAAAGTGCAGGGGACGGTGGATAGGATCTGGGATTGAATGGCTGCCTAGGGCTATGGAGCTGGCATGACTATTTTTTTCTAATCTTTGCTCTCAGGTGTCTTTATTTGGATCTGGCACTATCTGCTAGTGATGCAGGAGTTATTTTAGTGAGGCTGGTAACATCAGAAGCCACGTGCTACAGGAAGAACATTTTGAGCATAGAAGCTTTTCATCCACAAGCATTCAGAGATCTGCTGCAACAACAGTACTGAAAGGTAACTTTCTGTCAGTGGAACTGAACACCTCTGAATACCTCTGTTGCTCTTGTGGAAAGCTAATCATGATAACACAGAACTGTTGAAAGAACAGATGACTTATTCTACCTTACCTAGGGAGTCTAAAGACTTTAGCTTGAGACTAACTTCCCGTTATGTTGGTAATCAAAAAGAATCAAAGCAAATAATGCTTATCTCAATAGTGATCACTGATTAGAAATGATAGTTTTTTTTAGCTAGCCGGGCTGCTGCCTGGTAGCTGTAAATATCTACTCTTCTTACAGTATCAGAAGGTAACTGGGCTTGGCAAACGTTAGCGCCTATTTCAGTATTACCGCTAATTTGGGATGGCGGCTGTGTGCCTGGGCAGGGCTGAAGGGGGGCGCAAAACTCACGTCCTGGGAGTTGTGCTGGCCCAGCTGCATTCCCAGCTCCAGCGGTGCTGCTGACTGCGCGTTCTCTGGGCAGAACTGGGAGCCAAAGAGCACCTGGGAGTCGCTCAGACTCGAGTAGTCGCTCAGCGCGCCGCTGCGGGCAAAGAGCTTGTTTGGCCTGAGGTGGAGGAGAGAGGCTTGTGAGTGTGAACAGCAAGTAAGCAGGCAGTGTGTGGCTGGACACGTTGATCTGACTGTTAGAAATACTGCAAATGTAACGACGCTACTCAAAAGATGTATTGGTGCTGTTTCACCCTAGCAGTAGATGAAATCTGTTCTTCCACTCCTTCCAACTGTGTCACTGTGCAAAGACTTACCCCAGCCTGCCCACGAGAACAAAAATCTCACCATATAGCATTCCTAAAATGGGTCAAGGACAAACAAACTGAATTATTTCAAAGCAAAATGCTAATAAATCACAAAGGCTTTCTTCTGATCAAGCTTGGCAAAACAAGGATAAACGAACTGAGAATTACAGATCAAAATTAATGATGTAGGCTCTTAGGCAGGGTTTTCCTTCTATATCAAATTGTATAACCAAAGGAAAAAAAGAACAGGAGACTAAATTTTGTTTCTAACAAAAGATCATCACCCCAGCATTTATTAGCAGTGACGTCTTCAGTTAATCTCCACTTTTGGAAGGATCCCAACATCATACATACAACAGAAAGAGCATTTACTGGGAGTCTGCTCAGCCTCCTCCATATAGCAGTGTGAGTGACAATATTATCTTAATGCCTTTGGCTTTGAGCTCACTGTGTACTCTGAGCTGCAGGACTTTGGCTGGCAATGTAAGTATCACATCTCCTGCACTGTTTTTCTAAACATCCATCTTTTAGCCGAAAAAGCTCCTTCTTAGTTTGAGGAAGGGTTTTTATGCTCTTTATATATTGATAGTAAAGCACTTAGTTCCATAATCTCCTTTCAAAGTGTCTGGTACAACTGGAGCATGTCACATCCCGTAACCTGCTCCTCTGCTCAGTCCCTTTGCATTACCTAACGTCTGAATTACAAGATTCCAATACAAAGAGTTCTACTGCTGACATTCTGAGGAAGCTCAGAGGGCTTTATGAGCCATGTAACTCCCCAGGCTCACTCTGTGCTGATGCTATGACCAAAGAAGGCTATTGGCAGCCATGAAGCCTCATTTTTCCGTTTTTAGTCTGCTCTCTTGGTGGTCAGTTTAGGAACGATGACGTTTTTTGCAAACTATGGGGGGAGATGAAACAGATGCCTCTTGGAGCACACGCACTCCCCTGAGCAGCGGAGTTCTTTCTCCCCTGCTTAGCACTGCTGGCAATGAATTTACTAACGAGGCCATCTGGACAAGGCATCAGCCTGGCCACACGTGGCCCAGAACTCTCTGTGATGGTAAAATCAGACAGCCACCTGACTGTTTCCTTCAGGATGCCTGAGCTTCATGGATGCATGATCTGCTCTAAATATAAACCCTTCCTTGCAAACAGCAAGAAAACATCCCAGTCATTTAATCCTGGTTAGCAGTTCCTCTTAGGTGATGCAGTATTTTATCCAGAGAACTTTCAGCCTTCTGCTAAAACGAGCCATTCCTGTGTTGTTCATGCATTTGTGCCAGGAGCTCTCCTAAAGCACTACTGTATGCATTCAAAGGAAGAAGAGATTTAGATGTGTAAGATAGGCACCATCACAAGCTCCTGTCAGCTCCAAAATTGCTCAATCATACTCTGTTGACCCATGGAATGGTTTCTTCTTCCCACCTAACTTTATGCGAGGTCCTGTGATATTGGCAACCCCGACATTTACTGTAATATGAGCATGACCTAAAAAATCTGCAGCCCTCTGCATAGCTGGGGAGTCAGCTGGTCCTCTGCTGTCTCAGTTTCATTGCCACCAATGGGAATTCCTCCTCCCTGTCCCTCAAGATAAGTTGGATCTTTTTGGACCTTCTTGCTTGTTCCCAAGTTGCAGTTAGCACACCCAGATACTTCAGCATGGCCACACACAAACATATCGCCTTTCGTTTAAAGGTTCTGCCTTGCCCCAAAATAGCTGTCAGATGCAACACACAGAGACATGTAGCGTGCAGTAAATCTCCTCTTCTTGTGTTCTCTAGGTGTTTCTAGAATCGCCATGCCAAATCTTATAAATTGTCCTAGGCCTTATTGGTCTGTGAAAACAATTCTGTTATTGGGTCCAACACCAAATGCTAAGAGTCAGCTGGAAAAGCAAACAGAGTCTTCTACAGTTTCCAAACCAACATTTATTTGTGGTGCTGCTGGGATTGTATTTAGTCCCATCATCCACACCAAACCTGAGCCAATGTCCCTCCTCTTCCACAGCTCTGTGGGTGAAGCTCACTTATGCCTTCCTGACATGTTTAAAGTGCAGTGCTTTCCTGAAGAGATCTTTCTCTCCTGGTAGTAATCTCCAGTAGTATCAGTGCAGTACTGTTCCTTTCCTCCTGCTTTCTGTCCAAAAACCTCCCTGCCCCTTCTGCTCCCTCTCATTTAGCGGCTAGGACTGCATCACAACAAATCCAGCTGAAGAGCTGCGAGTTGCTTTTCACCTGCCCTTCCTCATAGCTTTAGACTGCATCTGTAGGAACTGTCTCTACCTCTGCCGTACTGCTCTTGTCGTTACTTTTTGCTGCCTGCCAAAGTGTTCATCAAACAAGCAAAGATCAGCGTTTGCTTTGGGCGCAGAGGAGGGACTTCAGCATCCAGGGGGCTTGGAGGAGCTTAAATCAAGGAGGTTTAGCTGCTATTTCTGCTCCCAGCCATTTACCATCTCTGTTGGAGACTGCCAAAGCATAACATTATTTTTCTGTTCTCTATCCTTTGGAACTCAGTGACCTGCTTGCTGCAAATCATTTGTTTCATTTCTGCATTCATATCCTAAAAGGAATTTCTACAAAGAGATTTTGGCAGTGGCCCCAACCACAACAGGATCCCTTACAGCAGCCTCCAGTTTCCAGGTATCAGGCTGAAAGTTTTTCTGCTCTTGCTTTAATTCTTCAAGGTCATTTTTACTTTCTATGAGCGACTCCATTATTCATTCCAACGCGATTCAATACCACCCAAACATTCCTCACCTTGGAAACCGTGTCAGCTCTTTTGTCCTGAGCGAGGAGCCAGCAGGCAGAGATTGCTGCGGCACAGCCACGTTTACTTACACATTGATCCTTGGCCATATTAGGAATTAGACCTCTGGAGACAGTTTCTGTCCCCCGGTCTGAAGCCGTCTTCCAGTCTGCAGAGTCCTGTAAGGCTCAGGATTTGTTTTGAGCCGCTCTCTCAGTCATTGTCTTGTCTATCTCTGTCACTTTCTGCTAATTCTTGGACCTTGGATTCTTAAAGCATAAGGAATTGGTGGTTCTGCTGTATGGAATGGAATGGAATGGAATAACAGGTTGAATGAGGCTGTTAAACTCGAAAGTCTTTTCTCAGAGCAGAAATACGCCACGGAGAATAAGTGGTACAAGTAGACTTCATGTTGCAGCATCTTTTTTTAATTTAATATTTCTCTTCAGTATTTTCATCATGTATTGGCCTTACCCACCCTCTGGCAGGCTTTCTGCTCCTGATGGCTTTTGAAATTGGTTTATTAGTAGTTATTATGCCTTTAGCAAGTTACTGCCTTTCACGTGGAACAATAAAATTATGGTAACTTCAATTTAAAATTGTAATACTTTGCTTCCCATTTTTACATTTTTAATGCTCTTTAATTTCTTAAAGGGTGCCCTCTTGTTTTCTTTACCATGCTATTTAACCTTGTCAGTCTGGTACTGGTCCTGCTCACTCTGCTCTGATGGCTGCTCTGCATTTGTTCTGTGTTTCAGCTCGAGGTCTACATAATCTCTATTCCTCAGGCGAACCTACAGCCCTTTCTGCCACCCCTTTAAATTCCTTTCTAACAAGCTTCTTTATTTCTACGTAAATGTCTTTTTGGAAATTAAACATCTCTGTAGTGGATTTTTGGCTCCCATTTCTCCGCAGAGATGCTGACTCCAGTTCATTACTGTCACTTCTATGGCAGTGCAACAAGAATAATGCAGTAATGCTCCAAACGAGGGCCTTGTGCCCAACCCAGGACCAAAGCAAGATGCGATTCTTCCCTGGGAGTTCTCTCGCTGAGCAGGTCTTACTGGTGCTGAAAATCTGGTTTCAGCACTGTGAGTTGATAGAAGGCTAATTGAGGCATCGCTGCTTTTGTGACCGCTGTGCTCAGATGCCCTGTGATCTTCCTCTGTGTGCCCTTCTGGCCGGGCAGGCAGCAGCGCAGCTTTAATGCGACACATTCCCTAATTGTGTCTGGCATTTCAATCCCCCAAAATCGTGTTGTTTGTTGGTACACTTAAATTGACTCTTAGCTTTCTCCACAGCATAGCTGTCACTTTATCAGCATGACCTCTTCGTACCTTCTCAAATAATTGGCAGCCTGATATTACAGTGTCCAACTAGATAATCTTCTTTCTGATGAGTCTGTATGATCTCTGCTATGCCAATATTCATATATGAGAACAGGTAAAGTGGGGACTTTGGCTCCCCCATCCTATTTCTCAGGCTGCCAGCAGTTGCAGATGAGAACACACGTGCTTGATGGATTATGACCCCAAGCCCCCGGTCTGTTCTGAGGCTCAGGTGGAAAGGAAGCACAAGAGGTAATGGAGCAGGGCAACATTGGGCTTCTCTGTTGTGGCCTTATTACATCACTGGAGTCCTGCATTGCTCATGGACCTGGCGGCAGCTGCTCTCAGAAGTAACACTTTTCCTCAAATGTGCAAAGAATGAACACACTGAGGCACACCTGTCAATATTATGTGCTGATTTTGTTTCATCTTGGAAGCTTTCTGAAAGGCAGCACTGTGCAGTCTGTGTATCATATCCTGCTGTAGTGAGAAAAGGATCTAGTAACAGGAGAAGTGAGCTGAGCGAAGTTAACAGCTTTTCTCATATCTCAGTTTTGTGCACACACTCCTAACTTTTTTTTTCCTTTAAAAGAAGTTAATTTGCCTTCTGAGTTCTCCTTTTAACTCCTCTAAAAGCTCAGCTTCATTCTCAGTATTGTTTCATGCCCTACTTGACCCTCTCAACTCATTTGCCAAAAAAGTGGAATGCTGAGGAGCAGGTGATAAAATCTCATCTGTGTTTCAATCGTGTGTTATTAGATTAGTTAAGAGGCAAGGCTTTAATAAAAGCAGAGAAAAAAAATCAAGACAATAGAATGATGCAATGCATATTTATGAAGGCTAAATCGTGACAGGTATAAACATACTTTTCTCTGAATTGGGTCCTCTTTGACCCCTGCATCTGTGCAAAACTCAATTAATTCATACCTATGCGACAAGTACTTTTATAATGGGGAAGGAACCTGCGATTATATTTTCATTATCATCCATCATCATTGTAACATCAGGCCACATCGGAGACACTATGACTAAACCTGTGAATTTGAACAGTTAGTTATGTAAGTGGTTATTTAACTACCAGAGGATCAGAGGACAAAAGTAATCAATTAGCTTCTCCAGAGTTAAATGAGGGGTAAATCTGGAACTGTTTTTAAGCCAAGTGATGCAAAGGTTGATACTCTGCTGTTCATTTAAAAAAGAGAAAAAGGAAAAAAAGGCATTTTATGCGTTTGTTCTCTAGATGTTCAATACAAATAATATTTGTTATTTCATTATATATTGTAGATGTGGGGAGTTATAGCTGCTCTTTGACTTCTACTGGGGAAAGAAATCATCCATGTATATAAATGCAGAATATGGAATAACTTTAGAGTTACATAACGTGTAATGATATTGCAAATCGTGATTCATTCTATCTATCTTCTACGCAAGGCAAGAAGGGAGCATTTAACTTATCTAATTAGACATGTTGCATAAGATAGGCCATAGGACTCCTGAATAAATTCCTGCTCAAAGCACAGAATAGCTTTCAGCAGAGCTGCCAGTGTTGATTTTAAAATTCCCTACAATGGTAAATCTATCACAGCACTTAGTAGGCTGAGAGTAATGTAGACAGAAACAGAATCACAGAGTAGGTTAATTAGCCATAATTCAACAGACCATGATTAACCGCAGATTAATTTTAGACATATTTCTTGTCATTCCTGCAGTCATTCCCTGCTTTGGCAGTACAGTGACCATGTAATTATGGCAGTTTCTCCAACAATTTCCAAAAGTAGGGAGCTATAACAAAAAAAATGGTGGTGCCTCCTGTTCCAGGTGACCCTGCTGGATCACCTCCTAGCTTATATCCCTATTGTACAGCTTATAACCTTATACAGGCAAAGTTCCTGCCTGTTCCTATCCTAGGCCAAGCCAAGAGAACAGTCTGAAAGCCACCAAAAAGCTGGGCATAGGGCAGGCACAGCAGATGTTCCTCTTTCCATATTTCACTCTATTATACCACATTTACAGGAGTATTCACTCAGGTAATATAACCTGCTGCTCACCACAATCCCTCTGCTTATACATCTCGAATTCAGTAAGTGGACCACTAAAATGTTTTTGAGTAAATGCTCTTAAACACTCAGAATGCTGCCAGTTCTAGGAATGCTGTATGTTAGCAGTGCAAGACCTCCCAGCTGTTTGGTACTCTAACCAATCACACATCAGGAAGGAGCTTTTTGAATTTATAACATCCTCATCATCTCAATTCCTGAGAGAGGCTGTTGCACTTAAAGGCTCTGAGGGCTGCAGTGTGACGGGTGTGAAAACACACGGCACTTACCCAGAGGCTGTGGGAGTGCTGAGCATCTCCTTGATATTCCAGACGTTGAAATTCATTTTTTTTTTTCCCCTCAAGATTAACTGTTAGAAAGGAAAAATACAAGAGCTACTGATCCTGCATGCAGCCACTTGTGGGGCTGCTGGCTGCACTGCAATGGCAGCAGCCAACCTGCAGCCTGGTCACCCTGCAGCCACTGTGTTTTTGGGGCTGGGGTGAGGAACGCTTCTGCCGGGCTCTGTCCCCAGGAAACTCATGTACTGCCTGAGCCGGGGGCAGTTAGCGAGCGTTGCAGAGTTAAGGCTCCCTCGGGACACAGCACAGCTGCTGCAAGGGGAGCACGGCCCAGTGTGGGGCCCAGCGAGGCCTGGCCAACATGGCTGCCACGGCCAACATGGCTGCCACAGCCAACATGGCTGCCACGGCCAACATGGCTGCCATGGCCAGTGTGGCTGCTGGAGCTGGGCTTGCAGGCTCCTCACGGAGCTGGGTTCTCTCAGGCTGTCCCCACACAGGCAGGACCAACCCCAGTGCTGTGTGAAGGAGGTGCTTGAGCCTGGGGACCCTTGGCTGTCTATGCAGCACACTGGGGCGCTTTGTGCCCAAGGGCTGTGCAGTCTCCAGTGTCAACAACACTCTCGGAAATGCAGAACAGCTTAATTTTACTTGCTAGTCTGACAGAAATAACCCATGATCTAAACGTGCCCTGCAGAAATACTCTCAAATATGGTTTCTCTGGAATTTTTATGCTCCTCATCTTCAGGAATGGAAAATGGGCACGCTTGCTTGCCTATTTTTTCCCCCTTTAACTCAAGGCAATTTTAATGCCTGTTAAGCTGTTTGTTTGCAAGTTCTGAAGGTGCTCTGTGAGCAACGAACTGCTGCAGAAATAAAGCTGCTTTTAATTTGAAGATAGATTAGAGGGGTTCATCACATCCCCTTCAAGCCCCTCTTGCCTGGAGGGAAGTTTTAGCATTAATACAGCCTGGAGCTCTGAGGTGTCAAAACAATAACTATGCTGTGTTTCCTTAACAAATCTTGAAGAACTGAAGGCTTGACCTAAAGAATTACGGACTTTTACCCTTCACAAACATTTTGGAGCAGCTCTGCTGCATTGTTTTTGCTCGTAACAACAAAGCTATGTCTGTATAAATAACTCAATTTTATCTCCATGACTTCTTAACTCTTGCCTGTGCGATGATTCGGTGGTAGGAAGCTTTTCTAGGACTGAAGCAGAGGCTGTGCTCCCACAGATGATAGTAGCGTGATAGTCAGCCACCTAAGGATGGAAGCCCAGCCGTCCTCCAGAGAGCACTGCTGCAGGGATATCCATGGTTATGGCACCATTTGAGTAAAGGAAGGCTTTCGTCTGCTGCTGTGCTCTGTACAGCTTGGGTGTGCAGGCCAATGCCCAGTGCTGCTATTGCTGTATTGAGGTCCAATGTGGTCCTACACCACAAACAGTGTTTTTCCATCCTTTTATTGGAAAATCTAGAACTCCATTCATAGGAGCCCACAGGGCCTTCTACCCATTAAAGCACTGTTATTTGGAAAGGATTTCACTTTGTGCGTGAGCTATAGGATTCAGGGCGTTATTTTAAGTTATTATGCAGAACTATTCATGTTTCTGATGTGGCTGGAGCTTTCTGGTTTGAATGTCTACTGAATTTGTGGAATATGATAAATGAGATTTTCTATTCCTTCTCTCCTGACAACAGGAAGAAATTCTATAAGAAAACACATTTTTTTAATTATAGGTTTGACAGCTAGCTCCAGTCCCAGTCTCCCTCATCCATAACGCAGCTCTGTGGAGATCAGAAGTGTTGCCAGGTGCTGGCTTGTAGAATTCCTTCTATCTGGAGTAACAGACTGTGCTTCTAGCATTAGGGAGTCCAGCCAGACACTTGAAGCCTTTCATTTAGTAAAAATTAGAAGAATATACCAGGAGATAGACAGCAATATCTCTTGTACGACCCTCAACTGTTTTTCTTCAATTTGTTAGCATTTAATTAGCAACTCACATGAGCTCTTAAACGAATAATGTGTCAGTCTTATGTGTCAGACCCTCACCGTCAGGGTCATCATTTATTTTGCCCTTTTGCCTGAAGATTTCTCCATCCATCCCAAGACATTCTTGGCTCTTGTCTTTGAGGCTTTCTTCCCCTCATTTGGTTGGGATCCTGCTCCAATGCCCAAAAGTGGAGAGAGAAAAGAATGAGCAATCCAGACTTTTAGGAAAGGTCACAGATTCTTCTCAACTGAAACAGTCAAGTGGTGCTGCAGTCAGTGGATGCACCCCAGATTTCCCAGTCACATGCAGGAGACTTGGGTGCTAATGAAAGAGGCAAGCTGACCGTAGGCAACAGAGGCAACAGCTGTAGAGCTGTTGGAAATGTCGCCGCAGTGGGGACACACAACAGCAAGGTGCTGAGGTGCAGCTGGCATGGCCTTGCGTTTGGAAAGGGCAGTTCCAAGCACCAGCACCCACTCTGCAGCCCGCCACATTGGAAGGGAATGTTGCAGAGGAGTGTCAGCCTGCCAGTGACTCAGTGCCTGATTTATTCTGTCCGTGCCATGCTGCCATGGGATGTGTTCGTTAATCAGGTCTGCGTTTCCAGTGCAACTCTGTGATTTAGGGTTGCGCACGACAAAAGCTGTGGTGAGTGAAGTTCTTAGGAGCCTCGGTGGCTTCTGGAAAGGGCTGGCAGGCTGTAGAGGGGTACCATACCTGTCCCACCATTTCAGGGGAGCATTGTGAAAGTGCAGTTTGCTGCAATATTCACAGCAGTGTGCCAGAGCCCTGCATGTGCTGTGCTTGGAGCACAGGATCCCTCTTTCCAGCCCCCTGACCTCTCAGCACAGCACAAGTCACTAATGTCCTGCTGATGGCGAGTCCCTCCAGCTGCTTCACCTCAATTTCCAGTTTGGGGCCCCATGTTGATGCTGGCTCCAGCACAGGAGTGTTTCTATGGCAACTCCAGAGGTGAATGCAAGGATGCTTCAAGCAACAGAGGTACCGCCAGCCCAAGGATCCCAGAATATTCCTCCCAAAATGCAGCAAATGGCTCTTCTCTGAACCATGCCCAACTTTTTCCATGCAATGCCCTGGCATGTGCAAAGCCTGATACAGCAGCAGCACACTGGCCACCCTCTCTGAAAGGTCAGATGCTCATGTTTGATATTTACCCCGGCCCATGAGATTTTTTCTAATGTCATCTCATTAAAAGACTGAATCTCTCACCTGCATCTGTTCTGACCTGTCTGTGCTTTAAAGTGTGTGACTTTGCATGAAGCTAAAACCAATAAGGCTCAAGCAAGTGCTAAGCAAGCTGGGGCAACCCTTGTCCCCCCCACAGCAGGATGACATGACTGCAGTAAGCTAAAACTTCACGTTTCATTTATTTGAGGTGCTACATCACCTCCTAGGCACTGAGCTACAGGGCACCTCTGCGCTACATGAGACATCGACTGGGTCTACAACGACACAGCACTCACTGCTACACACACGGCACGGACACGGGGCTGGATGGGGCAGCATGGCCAGCGACAGCCCTACCTCCATGGCTCCCCATGCCAGCAGCCTTGTCCCACCCTGGGCACCAGGATTTGCCCCTGGACTCCGCTGCTGTGGGAGCCTGGAGGGGTTTCTGGTGCGTTGCAAGAAACCGTGGCTGCTGCAGTACGCTGCTGCAGTACTTGGTATCACGGGACGGCAGCTTCTTGGAGCCCTGCACACCCTGTCCCCGTCTTCAGGCACTTGATGCTCTGCTGGGGCTGCTCCCCAGGCTGAAGAGCCATTGTCAGGGTGCATCACGCAGGCAGAGAGCCTCAACAGCTCCACTGGGGCCCTGGGCCACTCCACCGATGACGAAGAGCAGGTCAGGGGCTGGGCAGCTGGAGCAGGAGCAGCGGCCAGTGGGCATGGGGGGCAGCAGCTCCCACCTCTTCCGTGTGAGGCTGAACCCTTCCACTGAGTCCAGCGGGCACGACTGGTTCCCTGCAAGAGATGGCATGGCCTCAGCCCTCTCCATGCACCCTGGGTTCTGCTGTACTGAAGTAACAATGCAGGGGTTCAGCAGGATTAACAGCATCCCCTGGGAGAGGGCTGCTGGCAACAATGCTGCACCATGGTGCTGCCCCTGGCTGGCACTGTGGCATCTCAAGTGTGGCCAGAGCCCACGAGGCTGGGGTGCTGCAGCAGCCCTGGGAGCCCTCTCCACAGTTTTCCTGTTGCTGAGCAGCAGTGCTGACCTTTCCCCAGCTCTCCTGGGAGCAGGTTGCAATGCTGCAGCTCTGTGCAGATGGAGCCCAGGAAGGACAGGTTTTCATGCACTGAGCGCCCATTCCCCACCACAGCCACAGCAGTCAGCATTACCAAGGCCACCCATGGCGACCACGTATCTTCCCAGACAGCCAGCAACGAAGTCAGCTCTCTTCTCCCTCATGCGGATGGCACGGCTGGGCTTGCTCCACGCACCTGCCAGGAAGAGACTGTCAGCATCACCATGGACCTCACAACACAGGCAGCACTCCTTCCCCATCTGGGCCTCACCCTGCGCGGGGTCGAACATCTCCACGGTGTTAACGAAATGTGGTCGGGAGTAGAAGTTGTGTGGCCCTGGCTGCTGCAGCCCCCCTAGGCTGAAGAAGATGCTGTCAGCCATGGCGCAGGAGGCGAAGGCGCGGCGGCTGGGCACACTGGGGTAGCGCGTCCAGCTCTTTGTCTCCAGGTCAAAAGCCTCAAAGGCGGTGACGGGCAGCTTGCCCTGCCGGCCCCCTGTGTGTGGATGAGATGCAAGGGCTGGTGGCACCTGAGAGGCAGCCGGTACCACCGGTGCTGCCCAGCAGAAGGGTCCTCATGGAGCAACCCTGGGCCTTGAAGCAATGCACCCTTCGGGGCAGGCTTCTGGGCTCGCCTACCTACCCAAGACGAAGATCTTGTTGCCCTGCAGGAAGGCAGAGGCCCCATAGCATGGTGTGGGCATGGAGGGCAGCGGCTGCCAGTGGTCCTTTGCCGGCTCATAGACGCGAACCAGCGCCTGCGGAGAGGTATCTGCTCCCATTCCCCCCAGAACATAGACGGCACCATCTGTGGAACCAGCAGGGGTGAGGGGAAGACAGCTAGCACAGCTGGGCAGTGCCCTGACCCCACTTGGACCCTCGCCCGCCCCATCCACCCTGTGTGGAGCAGAGCACCAGGGCCATCGGCTCTAATTATTCCCGGCAGCACCATCTCCCTGGAGACACCATGGCAACGCTGCCATGCTGCCAAATCCTGCTCCGCTGCCGGCACCCCTGCCTGCGCCCATCACAGCCCCACCGGCTTCTGCCCCAGGGTGATGCCACCGCATCCCCAGCCCAGAGCAAACGCACGCATCCTCCATGGGACTCCTACACAAAGGCTGTGCTGAGGCTCGAAGGCAAAGTTTGGGCAGGACGTGTCACCTACCTCTCTGCACGGCCGCGATGCCCATGGAGGGCTGTGCCAGCGCTGCCGCCTTCTCCCACCTGCCCTCATCCACATGGTAGATCTCGACAGAGGCGAGGGGGCTCTGCGAGGCATCCACACCGCCCACCGCCAGGATCTGTTTGCCCACAGCAAGGGTGGCAGCACCAGCCCGTGGCGTGGGCAGCGGAGGGAGCGCGGTCCAGCGCTGGGCCTGGAGGTCAAGCACCTCGGCTGCTCCCAGGGCTCTCCCGCTGCCTCCACAGCCACCCAGCACGAAGAGCTGCCCGTCGTGGTGCGCCGCGCTGCAGTACACGCGCCGTGTGGGCATGGAGGGGAAGGAGACCCACGCAAAGGCACCCGCACTTGATGCCGCCATGGGATGGCTCAGCCACCCTGGGGGTCCCCGGGCCCAAGCCCCACCGTGCCACCCATCCGGCCCACGGCAGTGGTGGGACTTGACTCGGCTGCCGCCCAGCTCCTGCAAAGAGAGCAGTAGGGTCAGCACTGGGCACCAACTGCTGCTTCAGTCCCTGCGAGCCACAACCTCCGGTTCAGCGTGACAGCATGCTGCTGTGCTCCCAATGCACCACCCGCATCCACTGGGGCTCCCACACCTGGAGGATCCCAGCGGTCATCCCGCACACCCAGCCATCTCACGCCCCTGGGCTCCAGTGCCCAGCCCATCTCCGCAGGGCACCCGCTCCCCGTGGCTCTGCTCGTCCTGTGGGGCATCCGCTCCCGGCTCATCTCCCGCACTCTCTGATGCTCTCGCTCCCCAGGGCTCCCGGTGCACATCTCGGACTCCCAGTGCTCCCTCTCCGCACCCTCCCCTGGTTCCCCGTCCGCGTCCCGCACTCCCGGAGCTGTCCCACCCCGTACCGGTCCCGCCGCCCGGGAGCGGGACAGGCACCGCACCGCGCTCACCTCGCCGCCCGTTCCGCCGCTCTCTGCTCAGCGCCGCCGCTTCGCTCCGCGCGGGGCCCGCCCGCTGCCGGTGGAGGCGGTGCCGCGCCCGCCCGCCCCCCCGGATCTGTTCCCGGGCCCCGATTCCCGATGCCCCCGACGTCCTGCGCGGATCACCAGGTGGAGGCACGAGAGGGCAGGGCGTGGAGCCCACCCTGAGCACCGGGGTTCGCCCGCAGGAGACCCGGGGCCGGTGTCGCTCGGTGGCGGCAGGTGCCTGCCGATGCCACGCTGCTCATCCCTTTGCTCCTCGCTTTGCCAAACTCTGAGCAAGTGAACGCGGAGGGCAAGGCACTTCCCCTGTGCTTGCACAGCCCGAGTGAGGGCAGAAAGGGAACTCGCACCGGAAACAAGGTAGAAAGATTTGCTTTAAAACCAGGCGGAAGTGGCATGGAACCAGCTCTGCTAGGGAGCACACCGTACCCATGGTGCCAGCTCTAGGCCGGCTGCCTCTGTGGGATGTGGGAGTGGGAATGGAGACAAACACTGGCATGGCTGCATGTAGCTGCAGGATCAGAGGGCACAGAGAGCCCCAGCCCCATGGCAGGAGCAGGCACAAGGCACAGCTCTGCCTGCTGAGGGGCTCCAGCTCCCTACACTGCTGCTGAGGAAGGGAAAGCAATTTCCTTAAGGGATGCCATCACACAAGCTCCCAGGACAGTTGTGTTTGGGCCTGGCGGCTCTCAGTGGGACAGGGTGGGCACATCGCATGCTGGAGAGGTGACAGCTCAGAGCAAAACCCACTCGGGACTTTTTGTGCAGCAGGAAGGAAGCATTGGGGTATCCTTGTTCTGAGCTCCTTGGCCCCAGCCCAGCCTGCCCAGTGGTATCACTGTCCATCACTCTGCTGGCTCAGGGAGCCGCTCTCCATGCGGGCCAGGTAACCATCATAGTTCTCTTCACACCTCCTCACGCAGTGGAGGAAATAGTCCTCATTGGCGATGGCCTCCAGGAGGTCGGTCTGCACCAAGCAAACATCATACAGCTCTGAGGTAGGAGCACACCTGGGGCTGCTGCTGCCTCGCTCCGAAAACACCTGTGGGAGAAAGCAGAGTATGGAAGCACTCATCCCCTGTGGCCAACAGTGCCAGGGCTGTGCCCAGCCCAAGTGCAAAGCCTGGCAGCAGTGCATGCATCCCAGTGTGCATCACAATGCCTCCCTCAGCCAGGTGCTGACAGCTAACTGAGCATCTCCTGCTGAGCGAGCTGATGGCAGCAGGAAAGGGCTCCCATTTTCACTCTAGCGGTAGAAGATTAAGTTTCTCCAGATTTCCCTCCCCTCCCAGACTGCCCCTTTGGATCAGAACCAGCTTGTCACAACGTGTGGCTGGGGCTCCCCTAAGGAAAGGGCCACACTGGGCTGCTGGAAGAAAAACTGTGCTGTGATCAGCCAACCCCAGGAAAACTTCTGCTGCCAGCTCTGCCGTTGCTGCCCCAGCCTGTTGCCAGAACTGGTGCAGCCACACGGCACAGGAAGGGTCAACAGCTTCACCATGCTTTTGCCTAAGGCTGCCTGATAACCTGCTTCCTTCCCAGCACAGCCGTGCAGCACTCTGTCACTGTCACTGACACAGGGGATGGCCCTGCAGAGCTAGTGACACAAAAGAGGAAGATGGTGTCTAAGCGACCTATCCAGGCTACAGAGCGAGGCCAGACAGCAGCACTGAGCCCTGCTGGAAAACTGCTCAGCTGCCATCCAAACCCCTACTGGGTCTGCTGCCAAGATAACTCGATCCCACCTGTCTGATCTGGTGCCAGGGGAACCTTGAAGTTATCTTCACAGCTGTCCCAAGACAAGCTGAGCAGCCCAACTGACCCAGCTGTGCTGGCTACAGATGGTGACAGGCTGAGCTCCTTGATCAGGGAAACAGCCCAGGGCTGAAATGCAGCAAGTGGAGCTGCATGAGTCGTGCTCTGGCTGCTCTAGACATGCAGGGAGCAGCTGCTGCAGAGAAACGTTGGGCTCTCAGCAGAGCCTTCTGCATTCATTCACTTCAATCAGCCCAGGCACAGAGCAAGCCTTTCCTGTAACAGGTCTGCTCTGTGCAGTGACAACTCCTGTCACCAGCTACAAATCTGAGAGTGCTTGTGTAGAAGTGAATATCTTTGCTATGCTCCAGGTGCCCTGCACACCACTGCAGGCTTCTTCGTGTGCTGACTCCTCCTGGATGGAACCCAGCCAGGGCTAAGACTCATCTGTGGAGCTGCAGCTCTTGTTTGATCACTGATAGTTTGTCCAGTTGCTGAGTGCATTTCGGTCTGCGTCAGTGTTCCCAGGCACCACCACAAATGCTGCCCTTTAAATACAGTGCCACAGGACGCTGCAGCCGCACAGTGAGGCTGGCTGGCTGCCGTGCTGGCAGGGAGCAGGGATGACTCACCCCAGTGGAGCACAGGAGCTTGGCAGCATGCACAGGCATTGAACGCCTGCTGTTCTGTGCTGACAGCCAATTCCAGCCTCCCCACCGACAGCCCCAGTCACCTGGGGACCAGCGACACCAGGACAAAGCCTTGGACCCTCTCTGCACACTCATGCTGATACAAAGTGAACAGAACATGTCTGCCTAAGCAGGGACACCCCAGCTAGCAGTAGGGGATGTTCGGCCACCTACCTGAGGGTGGACAATGGTGTCTGCATCATCCAGCCGGATGTTGTCGTCAATGAAGATGTGGTGAATGCTGGGATCATGGGGGTCTATCCACAGGGGCTTCCCACCCTGGGAAGAGAATTGATTTCTGGCCCACCTGAAACAAAAGGTGGTGCAATGCATTGTCAGAGAAAGGACAGGGCGATGGCTTGCATGTAAGGGCTGTCGAGTCAGCACCAAATTACTACTAAGAGCCAGGGAAATGGAACAGTAGGCAGAGAGAGTCCTGTCTCTCTGCTTAATATTGCCTCCTATGAAAGAGAAACACTTTGCAGCCAGGAGACAAATTAGAGGGTGTTTAGAAAAAAGCAAGAATTACAGCAGGGGATGGAGATGCAACAGAAAATGCAAGAGTACCATCAGCCTGCCTACAAGCAAAATGGTGAGCACAGAAGTTATTGGAGCCGCAACAATGTAAAGGCATCAAAACTAGGAGCTATCTCAAACCAGAAGAATCACAGAGGAGGATAAAATGCCCAATCTGCTTTCTCAGTGCCCTAGTTCTCACCAGTCAAAGTGGTCTTGGAAGCCTCCAATTCCCTCCAAAGAGCTGAAGTAATCGTACAGCTTTCTTCCATCCTCCGTGGTGGTGAGTCGTTCTGATCCTCGTTTCAGCACAACCTCTCGCTTACTGCAGCATATTTGGCCAGGAGTGAGGACCACAGGGAGCTGCAGTATTATTGAAAGCAGGAGATGAGAGGTTTCCAAAGCAAGCAGATTGTTTACTGCATTGTAACAGACAACAAACAGCAGGGTGGTAACCTTTCATGACAGTGTAGGAGGACAGCACTAGGGAAAACGAGATGTGAAAGCACTAGGGAAAACGAGATGTGAAACCCACACAACCCAAAAAGCTTTCTGTCTGCTGGGGAATGGAAATAGAGACCATCTAGCTGCACCTTTCCATCCTTTCAGTGCCCAGTTGTTGTCAGCTCACTGAGAAACAATTGAAGTGACTTCTGATGGTTGGACTAGATAATCTTAATGGTCATTTCCAACCTCAGTTATTCTGTGATTCTATGACACTTGCTACTAGTGCTCCTGCCCTGCCTCCTGGTGGGGCCTGCTTTGGGTAAAGGTCCTGTTGTGCTGCAGAGGCCACTCCATGCCCAGCTCAGCCACCCTGCCCGCAGATCCCCCACCAGCACATGGGGACACACTCACCGCCAGATCCCGCAGGGCAGGGAACTGGGGGTGCTGCCCAGCCAGGGCCGAGCGCAGGGCCAACAGTGTGCGGGGCAAGTCGGTACCAAAGGTCCTAAAGATAATAGTGAAATCCCTGCCATCCCGGTGCAGTGCATCCAGCAGGCGGAAGAAGGAGGGCAGGATGAAGTGATAGTGCTTGCCGTGCCCATCTTGCATGGAGAGCTCCTGGTGGGGCTCACCCGGCCACTCCAGCAGCCGCAGGTGCTGCGCGTGGAGGCTGCTGAAGCACTGGCCGGGGCCGGATTCGGTGAAGGCCTGGTCACGGCCATAGCGACAGTAGTAGCTGACGGCTCCGGGGCAGGGGGCTCGCAGCGAGGGGCGGTCACTCACCCACTGCCATTCACCTGCAAGAGAGAAAGCCGCTCACTGGCTGCCCACCGACCCCGCGCAGGCACGGCCCGGATTCCCCCGTTCCTATCCGGCCCCGGCTCCCCGATCCCGGCCCCAACTCCAGCCCCGACCCCTCAGTCCCGTCCCTGCCCGGTGCTCACCGTCAGCCCCCTCCCGGCCCCAGGTGGCGGTGCTGAGGAAGATGTTCAGCGCCTCCCGCGGGCCCAGCCCCGACACCGCGTCCGCCGCCACCACCGTGTTGTTCAGGTCCACGTGCAGCACCAACCGCCGCCGCCCCGCCCGCCCGCTCATGGTCCCGCTGTCGGCACCGGAACCGGCGACACGGAGCCCGTTGCCTGGAAACGGCGCCGCTTCCGCCCTCCGCAGCCGCCCCGGCGGCGCCCCCTGCCGAGCCCTCCCGGGGCCGCGGTTGCCGCGCTCAAGGGTCGGGAGGGGCGTGGCCGATAGAGGAGGGGGCGGGGGCGGCTCATGTGGTGGGCGTGGCCAAGAAGCCGGAAGCGGAACTGGGCGGTATTTCCGGCGCTCTGCGGGCGGCCATGTTGGAGCGGAGAGTGCGGCGCAGAGGCGGGTGCGGGTCTGGCGGCGGCCGGTAGGTTGGGGCCGGCGGTGCCCGAGTCCCGCGCTCCCGGGCGGGGGCACTGCCGAGCCGCCCCGGCGGGGAGCGCCTTCCGGGTGCTGGAGGCGGAGCCGCAGCTCTGCGGGCCCCGCCCCGGTCTCCGCCCCCTCCGGGTGCCGGGAGCCGGCGCGGGGCCGCACCCGCTGTCTGCACCAATCACCTCCCCGCAGCCCCCCCGGGGAGAGCACCGAGACCCGGCGGGGCTGTCCGCACCGGGCTCCTCCGGTCGGTGGGGCCGAAAGCGCACGGTCCCGGGTCCCGCCAGGCCGAGGGAGGATGTGAGGAAGCGAGGGTCGGGCTCGGGGAAGGGGCATCGTCTCGCTACCGAAGGGAGGCGGCGCCGTGAGCCTGCCCGCCCTATGAACGTTCCCTGGTCGGCCCTGCAGAGCTCCTGGGGCGCAGCCTGGCCTGGTCTTGTCCTACTGACAGCCGCCCCCGGGCTCCTTGAGCCCTCTGGCTTTGCTACCGATCTGCTCCTGGGATAGCAGAGCACCTTGCTTGCCGGGCGGCCACACCAGCAGCTGTGGCCATCGGGCACTATTGCTAGGACTTGTTCCTGAGTAGGGCACCAGTTGGACAGCCTTGCTTTTGGGTGGGCCTTTGTGCACACTGCAACTTGCACTGCACGAAGCAAGGCTGTGTGTCTGGATGCTGGGATGTTCTGTCCATGTGGCAATGAACACTGGACCACACACTGCTGTTGGACACCAAAATACCTGCCCAGGTGTCCTGGCTGCCCCTGGGCTCTGTGCAGCCTGAAATTCTCAGTGGAAGATTATGAATTTAGCAACCTACTAAGAGTGTATTGTTAGTTGTGCTTCTCTGCTGGCTTCTCACTCTCTACCACATCAGGATTAAGCTCTCTGTGCTTGCTGGCTTCACAGTGCCCGCTGCTGCTCGATCATTATGGAGATAGCAAACCTGGCTGCTGGGCACGGGCACCAGCCTCAGTCCTGTCCAAGCGGACTCCTCCTCACCCGTGGGAGGTACCCTGGGTGTTGCAAAGCGGCTGCATGATCCTCCTTCAAATCCCTCTTCTGCTGTGACGTCTGCAGAACACTTGACATGGATTAGTCTGTCATGTGGCAGCTCTTAGCCCCTTGCTGACCTGTGCTTCCCTCTGTCTACTTTTGGCTGATATTAAACTGTGGGCTTGTGTATTTTCCCTGTCTGTGGGAGCTGCCCAGCCCTGCGGTGCAGCTGCACTTTGGGAGGAATCCAGGCTATGAGCAGTTCCTCTCTCTGCCGCCTCAAGTGCTCATTTTTCCAGCTCTCTTATCTGCATACTGCCCACTCCTCTGGTGCCTGCCACACCTTCAGCATGTCCCTGAAAAGATTGTTCTTTTGATTCCTCTTTGCTATTTTGAGAACAGTGCTATGGATTTTTGCTTCCAGCTGAGGTGTTGGCTGGGCAGCCAGATCAGCGTGAGAGTTTGAGTTCTCCCAGTCGCACCACGAAATCCCACCCTGCTCTTTGGTATCTTTTTGTTTTTGTTTTGTGAGCCAAAATAGATGCTCTTGTTGCAGCTGCTTTGTGCCACTGAGTGAGATCTGAGTGTTGTACTTCTAACCATTGTGCACATGGCCTGCTGATGCCCATTTCCTGCCTGCCACTCCACTTGAACTTCTCACTTCCTCACTTGGCAGCGAACGTCCTTGGATCGACAGCAGTTTGCTGGAACAGCAAGTTGTAGACTGTGGCTGAAACACGGGGACAGCAAGGAGTGGCGTTGTGTTGCCCTGATGTTCAGCATCACTGGAGCGTGGCTGAAATAGCCTCCAGTTCTGCTGTCAGTGTTTCAGAAGGATGCTGCAGATTTGGAAAGGACTTGGAATCCTTTTTTGAGCAGAATCAATTCAAAGCTGAAAAAATTGAATGTGACACAGGAGTAGAATTGAGCTGCTTGAGCTGCTTAGTTCATCAGTGAGAGTGCTGACATGGTGTGATCATGTTGTCCTCAGTATGTGCACAGGGAAAGGCTTAAAGGAAATGTTGCTTTGCAAAGGCAAAATGAGATCTGGGTTCCAGATGCTGGGGCATATCAAACTCAAACCGGAACAAAGCTGTGGATGTCACTAAGTTAACGACTGGAACTGTTCATCCTGGGATGGGTTGGATGGGATTGTCTGAAATCTTTGTTTAGGTCTGAGTGTATTTCTGTGAGATATGTTTTAGTTTTGCTGCAGAGATAAATCAGTGATGGAGTGTTTGTTTTTTGCTGCTAGCTGGAGTTGTGCACAGATTCCAACCTGATGCCTGTGAGTAGCAAAAGTCTAGGCTTAATGGTTTCAGGTCCCCGCTTAAAAATGTGAGATGATTTCAGTTGCTGTAAGCTAACTATCTTCTCTCTCCCTTTGAGGTGCCTAGGGTTGTTTTTCCAGTAATTTTGAAGCACCCGATTGCCTAATGCCATGAATATTGCAGTGAACAATGTGGAAGAAAAAGCTGTCCATTCCTGGTCGAGAATTTACTCTGCAGGACAAAAAGTGCTGGAGGAAGCCCTCCGAGTCTTCAATCCCATGTCGAAGGACCTTTCAGACACAGAAACCCAGCTGGTGGCCTTCATTCAGGGCCTCAAGGAAGAGGGCTTCCAGCCCACAATTCTGAGGAGCAAAGATGTGTATGGGTACAGCTCGTGCACAGCAGACACACCTAGCCAGGCGAAAGGGAGCACGCCGCACAGCTGTGCTGCTGCCACCACCTCCAGCCCCCCTAAGACTCCAGCTAGAAGCACTGCAGCCATGGCGAGGGCATCTGCTTCCCCCACCAGCATTTCTGTGAACTCTTCGAGAGTTTCTCCGCCAGTCTCTAAAGGTGATTCCACAAATCTGCTGCTGAACTCCTTTAAGCAGACCAGGTCGGGGAAGTCCAAGGCCCCAGCTGTGGGCTTTCCTGCAAGCATGTATCCTGATGTGTATCCGGCAGTGAGGCTCTCTGTGGTTCTGGAAGCTCTGGTGCCACTGAAAACCCCCACATCCTGTTTGAAATCCAAGTACGGACGTGGGCCTCTTGGGGTATCACCCTCGGACCTTAAACTCCTTAAGGTTTCAAGCCAGACAAGGCAATTTTCTTCAGGCAAGACCACTAAAATAAGAGAAGGCAAGCGATGTAAGCGTGTGGGAAAGAAAGCACCGGATTCTGCCACCCTCGCTTTAAATCTTCTGAAGGGACTAAAGGGTGGAGTGCTGCAGGAGAGCAATGCTTGCAAAGCCTCAGGAGTCCTGAACGGAAGAATTGCAGGCAGCTCCTCCCAAGGCTGCACCACAGCACCGCAGTCCAAGGCCTTGAAAATCAAAGCTAAGGAAGCTCCGGTGGGGAAAGCGGAGTGGAAAGATAGCAGCACTTACCAGGAGACTGTTGGGAAGAAGAGGAAAAGAGTTGCAGAGGCGAGAGATGCGCCGCAGAGAAAAAAATCAAAATCCATTCCTGTCCAAAATAAGACTCGACGAGCTCGGAGCACTTTGAACCTGCTGAAATTTTGGGCCATCAAGGTGGGCAACTCTTCTTCCGACGATGAAGTGAGAAGAAGAGCACAGAAGATTCTTAGAGTCAACCTGTCCCCTGTGATCCGAATTCAGCCCTTGTCCCACTCTCACAGCGTCCCCTGAGTTTCTTCACTTGGTCACTTTTTGTAAGTAAATATGATCCTGGCACCGGAGCGTGGTGAAGTTTGAGAGCAACTTTGGATTTCTGGTGTCTGGTGACTGTACATCGACCAACCTGCAGACGGAGCAGCCTGCTCTTGTGCTGCTTCTGGCTGTCCACCACCACCACTGTGCAGAACTGGCTGCACGAGTACAGAACCATGTTTAGGAATACGGGATGGTGCCTTTGGCCCACCGTGAGCCGAGCAGGTCAGAGCGCCCGCCTTCTCTGGTCTCTCTTCTAAATGTGGCAGGCTGTGCTCTCACTGCAGGGTCAGAACACATGACTTTCTCATGACATGGATGCACTGTGATATTGCTCTTTTTCAAGCTGTACATTTACTGGTTTTATTTTGATCAAATTTTATAACTTTATATATCCATATATGTGCATATAGCCCAGGAACTGTGGGAAGATGCACTTCCTCCATCCCTCTGGGATTGGGTTCGATAGCTTTTGTTCCCCCTTCCTGTCAGCCAGTCTTTTGTTGAAGGTGCTGGGATTTCGTTGTGTTTCAGTGTTGTGGCAGTCTGATCTGGGTGCTCTTGGAACAGCTCAGAAGCAGGCAGAGTTATAACCACTTGAAAATGCCAAGCAGTCTGGAGAATTACCAGCTGGTAGTTGGTACTGTCATACCTTTTTTATCCTCGAGATGATACTTTTGGTATTACCTCTTCCTGAAAGTGGGGGAGTGCTACTGCGCTGTCGCTTGCAATTTTGCTGGATGTTTCTGGGTGCTTCCTCTATTAATTGTAACAGGAGTTCTGAACTCATCTAGGGGGTTTGCCTCCAAAGAGCAATCCTACTGGAGCCCAGTGTTGTTCCTCCCTCTCGTACCTCTGTTGCAAAGGTAGAAAATGAGCTGTGACTGTTACAGCCTTAGGGCTGGAGCTGCTGATCGGGGTTGCTTGAAGTGCCCTGCCCATGATGTAGCTACTGTTGCTGGACACGTCAGGAGCAGGTTCTAGGTGTTGGTAGAGAAGATGCCCGCTGAGTCTGAATGTATTAGATAAAGCTCACCTGTCTCAGAGTTCAGTGGCATCTGTGAGCCTGAATCACTGAAGAGGTGGATTATTGAAAGGTATAAACCAGCACTTACGTGTGGAGAGTTTGTGGGGATGTCTGTCAGTTTGTGGGGATGAAGCAATAGGAGGGGAGAATCACTGCATAATGATGGATAGCAGCTTTGCCAACCTCTGGGATGTTGGGAGAAGGTATGAGGCAGGCGTGACAGCTCAGCAAAGGCTCTGCTGGTCCCCAGGAGCACCACGTGCCACTGCAGCGGGCTGTGCTGCTGCCTGTGCTTGGGCAGGCATGGTTTGAAGCTGAGTGAGCAGCACACAGCAGCTGTAGGGGCGGCACACGGGCATGTACACATGGCTGTGATGGGATGTCAGTGGGGTATGGCAGTCTGGCAGCCCGGGGAGAGGGAGTAGTGCCTGGCTGTTTGCCGTGCTGCGTTCAGGTCTCTGCAGCAGCAGGCTGGTAATCCACTCATTCTCTCACCAGCTCAAAATACTGATTGTCTGACCTAGTAATCTCTGGGGACATTGGTGGAAGGGATGAGCTCTCCAGGGAAGCCACAGCTTCTTACGTGTCAGCTCTTCTCTAGCACCAGTCTGGATTTCAGTGCTTAATAAAAGGGGTTGGTGTCTGATCGCCAGCTCAGAGAGCAAAACTGAGGTGGGGAGAGGAGAAAGGAGTTTCACTAGGGAGTGAGAGGGCAGAGGAGCTGGTGTTCTGGGGCACAGCTCAGGCTCAGCTCTCACCCTCGGGAGATAATGGCTGGTCCTGCATCACACGCTCTGCTTCTGGGCAGTTTGACTGTGTGCAGCTGACCTGCTGTCAGACATCACAACTTGCAGTGTTCAGGACTGACCTGTGAATGCCGCTGGTTGGCTGCAGAGCAGGAGGAATGTTTTCTTCTCCTGTGTTTTAAAATGCCCTGGCAGAGAATCCCCTTTCCTGACATGTTCTGGATGAACAAGAACCCTCCATCACTGCTAACTGGCCAGAAATTACTTTGTCCCTTTTGTTCCCACCCCTTCAGACCTTTCTCATTCCCACGCTCTCAAATGCCAGGTCTCAAAGTCCTGTGCTGGAGTTTCTCTTTCTGGCAGTGTCCCAGGGAGGGCTCTGTGGTATCGCTGCTCTCGTGGCTCCTCCGTTCCCAGCCCCATATAAGGGCACCAAGAGCTGTCCTGGAGCTTCTTTGTGCAGCACGAGACCTCCCAGCAGTGTGCCTGGGTTCCACTGGGAAAAGCAGTTGCTCATCCACAGGGCAAAAAAAAAAAATTAGGGTGACATTGTTTTTCCTCCAGTGCGAGCAGGAAGCTGAGCACCTGAAGCCAGCTGTCTGTTGCATCCCTCGCTTTCCTTCTGTTTCTTTGCTGCACTGCTCTCTGCTTCCCTGCTCTTCTGTCACCTCTTATTTCATGCTTTGAGTCTGTGCCAGCTGAGGACTTGCCTTGTGCTGCGTTGCACATTGTGCAGAGCACAGTGCCTCAGCTCCACCTTTCCAGGCACTGTGCTGGATAGAGATGTTATCTTGCCCAGCATCCTTCCCCGGCCACCAGTGCGAGCTCTGCTCTGCTAGAAATGCTTTGTGCTAGGGCTGCATCACAGAATCCTGCAGGAACGGGAGCACCCTGTAATGCTGTGCTCAGGGACCTGCAGGTGGTCAGTCCTGCCTCTGTCAGCATTTCTGTGGCACAGAGCAGCAGGCCTTGAGCTTGCAGGGCCGTGCTGGAGCTCTCAGGCTTGCTTTGCGTTTGCTGAATTCACATTGTTAACACCGGGTCTCTGCCATCCTGACGTCTCCTTTTCCCCATCACAGATGAGTTTGGAACCTGGCTGGAAGAATGGCAGCTCATTTTTCATGGAGGGGCTTTGTGGCCTCTGGTGCCAGTGTCAGCCAGTGCAGCCTCGCTGTGACGCCCTGGCAGAGGCGGCGTTGCCTGCAGGCTCTCCACAGCCCGTCTGTGCTTGGTTCTGCCATCCTTTGTCTCACGCTGTTCTCACGGCTGCCTGGAGCTCCGGGAAGGTCGGGGGGTATCAAACCCCTTGGCCCTACCAGAGATCTCCTGAGGTCACTTCCACCCTGTTTGTTCAGTGACAGTGTTGGATCGTATGCCTTCCAGGGACTTGCAGCAGCGCTGGCCGCGCAGCGTGTGGAAAACACGTTGCCTGCAGTGTCCTGGTCTCTCCTGACATGCCGTATGCAGGTTGCTCAGACCTGCTTCTGTGTTAGTCTCTTTGAATTCATCCAAGTGCCTAACCTGGCCTGTGCTGTCCCTGGGCACCGTGACAGCCAAGGGCTGTGGAGACTCTCTAAGGAATGCTTTTACTGTGTGGATTTCTGCCACTGTCACTTCTAGTAACAATTCAGGCAGCGGTCAAAGGGCTGTTCTTCAGACTGAGTTTGTGGAAATCATTTTTCTTTTATTCAGCTGCCAAGAAGCAAGAGTTTATGCTTCGCTTCCACCAGACGAGGTCTGTGAGCTTCCTGCATGCTTCAGATGTCTGTCAGTGAGGTCCTTGGGGAGAGCGGCTTGTACAGCGGGGAGCACACATCAGACACCAGGCTGAAATCACAGTGTTAATTGGTAGAAATGTTTTAAAACTCGTGTGCGCTGTGATCAGATTTCACCTTCTGCTGCTGCTTTCAACTGGAGAAGTTTCTCCTTGGCCTTTTTCCTGCAAGCCATGTAGCGTGGCACTGCTGCTTCCAAACTGTTTGCTTTCCCCCCAAGTGCCAGCTGCAGTAGTGTCCTTGTACAGAATTTTGTAAGCACTTTTCTGTGAGATAAGGGATTATTATTATTACAGAACTCCTGTTCTGTAGCCCACTGGTGGTGTTTTAGCATGGAGAGCTGTGCTTGGGAGTCCTTAGAGCTGCACTGGGTTGGATGGGGGTGGCCCTTTGCCTTGTCAGCTGTGCAGGCTGGGACCATCTGAGGACAGAGCTCCTGGGCTGTGTGTGCGGCAGTGCTGATGGCTGTCAGCCATGGCTGAGCATCTGTGGATGTGACGTTCTAGCGCTGTGCTGCCTGCAGAGCAGTAGCGCTGAGGTTGGACCCCTCAACTTGCCTGGGAAGGCAGAGGATCCCTTAGGCAGAAGCAGAAGCTGGGATTTGGGGAAAACGAAGATCCAGCAGTGCCTGGCCAGCCAGCTTCTGCTGCTGTAAGAGATCTTCAGGGCAAGGGAGCCGCGCGTGCAGTGTCCCCAAAGCAGAGCTTCCACTTACCAGCCAGTAGCATGATGCTGGGCACAGGAGCTGCGGTTCTGCAGGACCTTGTGGGGGTGAAACCAGCACTCATCCTTGTCCTCCATGAGCTGCTGAGCTGTGGGGCCACAAGGAAGGCGCAGCTGCGCCACAAGTTCCCCTGGCGCCTATTGCCTGCCGCCCTCTGGAAGAACTGGGGGGGAGAGTGAGCATCTGAAATGACTTCCCCCCGTGGGGATGATTAGGCCTTGCCCCCAGGGAGTCCCTTAAAGGCCTTATTATCCTCTGGGACTCTCTCCTTGTCTTAATTAGCCCTTCTGGTTCCTGTTGCTAACGGCAGCCCCTGTGTGAGTTTGGTGATTCCCACGGACAGTGAGGCACGTGGTGCTGCTGTAAAAGTGGGTGCTGCAGAGCTACTGCCAAAACCTGTCATTCCCAGGGCACAGCCTGCAAAGCAGGGCGTTGGGAGCGTGCCCCCATTCCCCATCAAGGCCTGGGACGGGATGAAGTCAGGGAAGACACTCTGTGTGGTGTGTAGTGACATTCCCTCCTTGCGGTTCCCAGTGCAGCATTGCTGGGAAACATTGCTCCTGGAGCAGGGCACGGCAGGGATGCGGGGGTCTGTCTCAGCGCAGCCTGGCTGCAGCAGCTCCTTCTCCAACCATCACCTCTGAGAGAACCACCTCCACAGCTCAGCACGACCACCCTGCCCTGGCCAGGACTGGTGCCACCAGCGCAGCCACCAACGGTCCCCAACATTTGGGAACCCCAAGTGACACGGGAGCAGCAATGTGCCGTGCCCAGGCTGCTGGTGCCGCTGCCTCGTCCCCATGGCTGGGCACACAACAAACTTTAGTATGGTGAATTCACAACAACCCACCATCTTGTTCTCGAGTGAACCTTATACTGTTTCATTTGTTTGTGTAGAATGTTTCTGAAGGTATATTTAATGTTTAATATGAGGCTGGGCTGTTCCACACTCAGTGTTGTATATTTTGGAATGGCATTGTTTAGTGAAAAGACAGCGTTAGTATTATTCCACTCTTAGGAGGGAACAGGACAAAAAACAGACTGTCTTTTTTCTTAAATGAAATGAACTTTTGTTATGAAGTCCTAGCAGTTGTCCAGCCCTTCAGTAAATGGTGCTCAGAACCACTCAGCGTGTCCGGCTCTTCTTTAGTCCCTGCCAGACGGTGCTGCAGCTCCGAGCCCGTGGGGATGCTGCAGGGTGACTGTGCTGTGCCTGCAGTGTGCCACCGCTGCTCTGTTCCACTCAGGCACACCCATGCACCCCAGTGAGCTGTGGGGTCACCCAGCTGCTATGAAGGAATGCCTGGCTCAGGATGGGAGATGCTCCAGACGAGTAGCACTGGTGCCATGCTGGTACAACTGGCACAAATCTGCATTCCAGGTTAGTTCCCGGGTCGGCGCTGCGCTGTTGGCGCTCCGCCAGGCTCCGCTTGCCTGCCCCCCTCCCTCTTCCCTCGGGATCCCTTTCTGCTGGCTAATTCAACAGCAATGCCATTGTTTGCTGCTGTGTGATCTGGCTCCGTTTGTCCTGCCGGGCCATCGGTGCGCTGACCTGGCACTAACAGTGGTGGGACTGCGGCCCCATCCGAGCGCCTGCTCCTCCCGGTGCACCAGGAACAGCTGGGAACTGCCCCAGAGCGGCGAGCTGCAGCACCCTGGTGAGTCAGCCCCTGTGGCATGCAGGGTGCCCGAGCAAAGTCCTCAGGCAGGAAAGAGGTTAAGCAGCTCTGCTTGCTGAGGATGTTCAGGGAAGCGTCAGCCGCCCGCTGGGCGCACTGAAGTTGGTCCAGCAGGGCTGGCCAGGCGTGGGAGGCTGCTCTGCACACCAGCTGCGTGCTGCGGGAGTGGAGCTGAGCTCACTGCCCCCACCTGTGTCATCCGCCAGGCTCAAGCTGCTCTGGGTGGGAAGCCAGCAGCCTTTGGGAGGCAGGGGATGTGGCCTAGGAGCACTGCTGGCTGCTCAGATCCTCAGAAGGATCTGAGGATTCCTCCCTCTTGCTTTTCCAAGGCCGGAGATCCTATTACAGCCACCTTTATCGGGCCACTGGCGATCTCCCCAGAGCAAATAAGATGTGCTTGGCAAGATCCTGTCAGACTTGCTGGCCCGTGCTAATGGCTCTTTATCAGCTCATCTCCTCCCAGCTCTCCCATTACCTCACCAGAGCCAAGGTCGGTGCCCGGTCACTGCCGTGGAAGCCTTGCTGAGCACGGCCCTTCCCTTCCTCTGGGCTTCCCCTGCACAGTGTCTGGCCACTGAGCTGCACATCCACCCTGCCCTGAGCCCTGGCATCCCTCACCCAGGGGATGAGCAACACTGGGACACGCTGAGTGCTGCCGGGCCCTGGGGGCTGCGTTACCTTCCTGCCTCCCTGCTCCGCGGCATGCAGCCAGAGCACGGCCTTGGTGCAGGCACGCGGGTCCTCTTCCTTCCTTCAGCCTTGGCTAATAAAAGGCACCATGTGACAGTGAGGACTTTGTTGGGCTCCAGCATTCTCGGGGATCCCAGGCAGCGACGGCGGGCACGGGGTGAGTGAGGCCTCTTAGGGCACGGCAGCACCTGCGGAGCAGGGTTTGTGGTGCAGGGAGGCGTGGGGAAGCGTGCCGCCCCAGGGCGCGCGTTGTGCTCCTGGAGACGCGCCCTGTGTAGGCATGGGGTGCCCACGGGCCGCACGGCGACTCGCAGCCATGGCGTGCGCTGACGGTGCCACGCGACCGGCCATGGCTGTGCCGTGCGGGGCAACCACCGCCTGGCACCCGGCCTGCGCCTCACCTTGCTGCACCTCGGCGCAGGCAGGGCCCTCCCTCCCTGGCACGGCACACGGAGGAGGAGACAGCCGCTGGCCGCCCTCCTCCAGGAACAAGCGGCCGAGCGCAGCGGGGCCGTGCCGGCTCAGCTCGTGGCCCCCAGAGGGCACGGCCACCTGCCCGGCCCGCCGGCCCCACGTGCACAGGTAGGAGCGGCTGCAGGGCCCCGGGGCGCGGCGTGGCCTTACGGCTGGGCGCGGGCAGCCAGCACGGCACAGCGTGTGAGGAACGGGGCCGGGGTCCTCGTGAGGAGGGGCTGCATCCTCCCACGGCCACCGGGTGCTCCCCAGGGTGGGTGCGGGTCGGACTTTGCCCGGCGAGCCCCGTGTGTGCCTGGAGGGCCGCGTGCCTGCCGACACCCAGCACGGCCCCAGTGCTGAGCCCGGGCGGTGCCGCGCGGCATCCCCAGGCGGGGAGGTCATGGGGCCTTGGCTTGGCCCCATGGAGGATGAGCCGGCGGCCTCTCGAGACGTCTTTGTTGGCACCGGGGCGTGCCTGGGCTGCCGACGCCTGGCTGGGCCGCACTGCCAGGCCTGGCCCCACAGCCCCACGGGCGGGCGGCGAGGGCCTCCAGGCAGAAGGAATCGGCAGTGACATTCCCGTAGCCTGGAGACCGCCGTCCCATTCAGTGGGCAGCGCATTTGAATAAGAATCGTGTGTGTCTGTGTGTGTGCGGGGGGGCCGGACGGCCGCCCGCTTTCCCATCGCCTCCCATCGCCCCGCTCAGTTCTGCACGCCTGGACTGGGGCGGTGGGCCCTCACCTCCAGCCTCGCACATCGCTGCACTACCCAGGTACTGCCGGACCGGGGTCGGGGCTAGGGAAGCGCTCGGTGTTGCCTCTCCAGCCCATTGGCACTGCGCTGAGCAGGACCGGCGCCGGGCAGAGCGCGGGTGTCCGGCTGGGATGGGCCTGTGGCGTCCTCCAGCCCCGGGCGGCTGCATGCGGGGACAGGAAGGCTGTGCTGGGGCGGCGTGGAGTCAGGCTTTGATCCGGTGATTGCAAGGTTGGAAGGAGGTGGTGACGGCTGAGAAGAGAGCGCAACAGGAGCCTAAATTTAACAGCAGGACCCCGGCCAGCTGCAGGACGTCCTTGCCTGGCCTGCTCCAGCCCTGCTGACTCTTGTCCCCAGGTGTCCTGGTCCAGTGCTTGGACCCAATGGGACACTAGTACCAGTGCTGGACACGGAGGCAGGGATGGGTGCTCTCTGGCTGCAGGATGGGGTGTGGGGATGCAGCCATGGGGCTGGGGACATGGTTGAGAGACGGGTGATGCGTGCGTGGGACTGCGAGAGGCCCAGGCAGTGCTGCCCCACGCTGCAGTCCCATCTCTGTGCCCCACAGGTAGGGCCCGTGGCTGCCCATGGATGTCCTGGTCCTCACTCTCCTCCTGGGTAAGTGCTGCTCCCACAGTTCCCGGGGCTGCAGTGGCCCCAGGACCACTGCCCTGTGCAGGAGCTGTGGGTCGCAGGGCCATATTAATGCAGTGAGGGCCTGGGCACTGCAAATCCCAGCAAGGAATTTGGGCTGCATTGAGCCCTGCGGGATTAGCAAGCACCTGACCTGGCTCCCAGCTCCCCCTGGCACCACTCTATGAGCCGAGTGCTTGCAACACCCACACTCTCCCCCTCCCCATCCCTTCCTGCCAGCAGCCCGCAGCCCAGTGTCCCACTTGCTGGTGCTGCCCTCCCGGCCCTCACCCTTCCCCCCGGTCATGAGGCCACAGCCACACTGCCAGCATCTTTCCAGGTCACGGAGCTTTGTGCTGCATCAGTGGGTCAGGATGTGGGGATGGGGCAGGATGGGGGTAGGGTAGCACAGGGCTATGGGCTGTGGGTTTGTGGCGCAGCCTTCCCAACCCCTGCGCTCTGTGCAGCAGGGGTGCCAGCAGCAGGGGGCTGGGAGGAGCCAGATCCATCCCAGGTCTGTGCCCGTGGCAGCTGCTACCCGGCCACCGGCAACCTGCTGGTGGGGAGAGCTCGGCAGCTCAGCGCCTCGTCCACCTGCGGGCTGCAGGGCCCCCAGGAGTACTGCATCGTCAGCCATCTCCAGGTGAGCCTATGGCACAGCACAGCACAGCACAGCATGGCAAAGTGTGCCGGTGCAGCCCCAGAGTGATTGATGCTCCCCGTTCAGGACTCTGAGAAATGCTTCACCTGTGACTCACGAAACCCGGCCCTGCGTGAGAGCCACCGCATCGAGAACGTCATCTACCTGCACGGCCCCCACAGCGAGAGGAGCTGGTGGCAGTCGGAGAATGGTGAGAGCATGGCCACGCCACGCGTGTGTCCCCACGTGGGCTGCATGCCTCAGCCAAGACCATCCGTCCCTGCAGGCGTGGAGCACGTCAGCATCCAGCTGGACCTGGAAGGCGAGTTCCACTTCACACACCTCATCATGAAGTTCAAGGTGGGTGCATGGGGCACAGTGGGATGGTCCCCATGACCCGCCGGTCCCTATCCCACCGTGTGCCCCCATCTGACTGTGTGCCTGGCAGACCTTCCGCCCCGCAGCCATGCTGGTGGAGCGCTCGGCCGACTTTGGCCGCAGCTGGAAGACGTACCGCTACTTCGCCTACAACTGCTCCAAGCTCTTCCCCAGCATCCCCACACATCCCTCGGGGCACATAGGCGAGGTGCTGTGTGAGCAGCGCTACTCTGAGATCGAGCCCTCCAGCCACGGCGAGGTGCGTACGGCTGGGTGGTGTGGGGAGATGGGGCTGGGGAATGCGCTGACATGCTACATCCCACCTCCAGGTCATCTTCAAGGTGCTGGATCCCTCCATCCCAGTGGTGGACCCATACAGTCCCAGCATCCAGGGTGAGTGTCCATAGGGACGGGATGCGGTGCTCTGGGGCAGCGCAGTGAGCACTGACGATGCCACCTGTGCTACCCAGAGCTGCTGCGTGTCACCAACCTGCGTGTGAACCTCACCAAGCTGCACACGCTGGGGGACAACCTGCTGGACTCACGGCAGGAAGTGCTGCACAAATACTACTATGCTGTGGATGAGCTGGTGATGCGTGGGAGCTGCTTCTGCCACGGCCACGCTGCTGAGTGTGCCCCTGCACCTGGTGCTCCGCCATCTGTCCCTGGCATGGTGAGATGCGGCGCGGAACGACGTGGCACAGGGTGACCGCCTGGGCTGATCCAGATGCTCTCCCCCAGATCCATGGGCGCTGTGTCTGCAAGCACCACACGCAGGGGCTGAACTGTGAGCGCTGTGAGGACTTCTACCACGAGCTGCCCTGGCGCCCGGCTGAGGGCTCCAG